TGTATGTGCACTTGTGTGGCACACGTGTGTGTGTGCACGTGCGCGTGTGCACACACGGAGAGAAGAAATCAATGCACTGTGTGAAAGAAGTCAGACACAGAAGGCTGCATATTGAATAATTGTATTTATGTGAGATATCCTCAATGAGCAAGTCTGTACCAAAAATAGAGCTGGCAGAGCTCAGGGATGAAGAATGGTACTTAGTAGACACTCAGTTTTTGAGATGCTAAAATGCTCCAAAATCAGAAAAAAGTGATGGCCATCCATGTATTGCTGTGAAGATGTTAAAAAAAAAAAACAAACAAGCAAAACCATTGACTGGGCATTCTTTTATTTACTCAGTTGGGGCTTGGACCAGGGTCTTGAACAAGCTAAGCATGCACTCCTTGTTGGAGGGCTGTCTCCGGGGCCTTCAGGCGGTACAGGCTTGGATGGATGGTGCTTATGTTTGTTTTGCTCATGCCTCACTGTGACACCCAGGTTCTGCACTCATGACCCTCCTGCCTCAACTGTGCTAAGATTACAGGTGTGTTCCACCATGACTGGTCAAATGAGTAGACTTCTGAAATGATTACAATGTATACATTTCAGTTCTGTAACTTGATGCTATCAGATAGGGAAATACACAAATGTAACTATGTACAGCTATTATTTGTGTGTGTGTGTGTGTGTGTGTGTGTGTGTGTGGTAAGAGCAATTAAAATCTCATTTCTTAGGAGTCTCAGATACAGTGTAAATCTCTCCTGCCTTTATGTTGTGCCTTATCATGCTAATCAGGTTTTTTGTTTTTGTTTTTTGAGACAGGGTTTCATTGTATAGCCCTAGCTATCATAGAACTCACTCTGTAGACCAGGCTGTCCTTGAACTCAGAGATCCCATTTACCTCTGCCTCCCGAGTGTTGAGATTAAATGTGTGTGCCAGCGCTGCCCAGCTCATACCTTAGTATCATTAGATCATTTTTATTTTATTATTATTGGTGATTTGAGACAGGGTTTCTCTGTGTAACAGTCCCAGCTGTCTTAGAACTAGTTTTGTAGACCACACTGGTCTTGAACTCACAGAGATCTGCCTGCTTATGCCTCCCAAGTGCTGGGATTAAAAGGGTATGCTACCCACCCAGCTTGTTTTGAATTTTTGTACAATTTTATTTGTTGTTGTTATTTTGGTATTGTGTGTATGCTATGACATGCCTGTGGGGCTCAAAGGTATTGTAGTTGTTATTCTGGTGTTATATGTGTGCCATGTGGAGGTCAGAGTTCAATCCACAGAGGCTTGTTCTCACCTTCTGCCACATGGGTTTGAACTCATGTCCTCAGGATGGCTTTACCAGTGAACTGTCTCATCACCCTTTTTTGCTTTTTTTTAATTTTTTATTTTTGAGACAGGGTCCTGTTCTGTAGCCCAGGCTAGCCTGGGACTCACAGCAGTCCTCCTGCCCGAGTTTCTGGAAACTATAGAAGTGCATATCACTGTACCTTGCTCCTGTCTTTAAGGAACATCGTATTCTAAGGGGAATTTTTATTTACTTGTTTTTATTATTTTAAATATGTATATATATTTATATACACACATATATATGTGGGTGTGTGCATATGGGGGGGTATGTGCATATGAGTACAGGTGCCTATAGAGGCCTTGTACCCCTTGAAGCTGGAGTGAAGAGGTGACTGTGAGTCCAACATGGGTGCTGGGAATTGAACTCAGGTCCCTGGATGCTTTTAACCACTGTCTCTAGGGCCCCTCAAGGGAAATTCCTGAGAGTACAGTTGAGAAAGCAGAACAAGCTGTAAGTACCACTGTGCTGGAGAGGGTATGTGGCAGGTCCCAGGTGGCTTTTAGGGAGGTCCTGGCTATCGTCTGGAAGCCCAGCTCTTAGAGTGTTCCATCATCTCTTGACTGATAAGGTTGGTGCACTGTGCTCTGATGCAGAGTGCACAGGGGTTCATCACCCCACTTGTGATGGAGAATGAAGACAGGGTTCATCACCCCACTTGTGATGGAGAGTGCACAGGGGTTCATCACCTTCACTTGTGATGGAGAATGCACAGGGGTTCATCATCCCACTTGTGATGGAGAGTACACAGGGGTTCATCATCCCACTTGTGATGGAGAGTACACAGGGGTTCATCATCCCACTTATGATGGAGAGTACACAGGGGTTCATCATCCCACTTGTGATAGAGAATGCATAGGGGTTCATCATCCCCACTTGTGATAGAGAATGCACAGGGGTTCATCATCCCCACTTGTGATGGAGAGTGCACAGGGGTTCATCATCCCACTTGTGATGGAGAGTACACAGGGGTTCATCATCCACTTTTTTTTTTATATTTTCTGTGTTTTGAATTTTATCATTTTTAATGTTTTGAATCTTTGTCTCTATGTTTTGAATTCTATCATTTTTAATGTTTCGAATCTTTGTCTCTATGTTTTGAATTTTATCATTTTTAATGTTTCGAATCTTTGTCTCTATGTTTTGAATTCTATCATTTTCAATGTTTCGAATCTTTGTCTCTATGTTTTGTTACTAAGTCTCCTATGGTTTGTACAAGTTCCTTATTGTTTGCTGTAATCTCAAACCATTTCTTTAAGAATATCATGTTAATGATGAAACCCATTGCTATTACAAAATAAAAGTATATATTGGTCCAGTCATAAGTTTCTTCTGCTAAAATCCCTTCTACATATGAAGTAAAATAATTCCTAAAGTTCTGTATAGTAAAATTATCTGCCATAGTTATGGAACAATTTATCTCAGATTTTATATCAGCTTAAATTGCAAAGGATGTTACAATTACCTTAGGTGTAATTCTGCTGTCCTGGAACTTTGATGCTTTTAGTTGTATATCTCAGCTTGTGGTAGCTACGCCTGGAGGTGTGTCATCAAATAGCGCCTAGCCGCCGAGGCTCGTCTGATCCCGGTTCCTGTAAAAAGTTCTTAACAAACTATGACAAGCAGAATTTTGTTAAAAGGGGACTTTTGGAGTTACTTGTAACACAAGACGAAACACGTGCAAGCCGGGCGGGTGCCGCCGGGCGGGTGCCGCTGGGTGGGTGCCGCTGGGTGGGTGCCACTGGGCGGGTGCCGCCGAGAGGCTCTGCGCAAATGCAAAGTCCCGTGCGGAAATGGGCAAAAAATGTTAAGCAGCAAGTGCCTTCTCAGGTCTGCTTTAGCGGCAAAGATCTCCTTTGCAGTAAGGAAGAGGCAAATGTCCCAAAGCTGTGGTGAGTCCACCTGGTTAAACCCTGCCCGTTGGGGAAGGTGGGGGAGGGCGGCGGCTTCTGCCGCCTGGGGGCAAAACCCAGGTAAATCCCACTTCTGACACCAGATATTGCGGTAAATAAGGATCAGGATAAACAAATAGGCCGAATAGATGTTTATTCAGGGAGAAATAACTTACAACCTAGACAGATGAACACCAGGAAATTCAACCCGATCCTCTCCTGTCCGAGTCACGCCAGAAAGAGAGAGCACCTTCCTGGCCCCCTCTGACCTCCTTCCTCAGGTCACCTCTGCCCATCGCTCCACCCCCCAATGGGCGTGGTCAGTGCTACAGAAGGACTATCTCACTACAGGGTTCATCATTGTGATGGAGAGTGCACAGGGGTTCATCACCTTCACTTGTGATAGAGAATGCACAGGGGTTCATCATTGTGATGGAGAGTACACAGGGGTTCATCACCTTCACTTGTGATGGAGAATGCACAGGAGTTCATCATTGTGATAGAGAATGCACAGGGGTTCATCATCCCACTTGTGATGGAGAGTGCACAGGGGTTCATCATCCCACTTGTGATGGAGAGTACACAGGGGTTCATCATTGTGATGGAGAATGCACAGGGGTTCATCATTGTGATGGAGAATGCACAGGGGTTCATCATCCCACTTGTGATGGAGAGTGCACAGGGGTTCATCATCCCACTTGTGATGGAGAGTGCACAGGGGTTCATCATCCCCACTTGTGATGGAGAGTGCACAGGGGTTCATCATTGTGATGGAGAATGCACAGGGGTTCATCATCCCACTTGTGATGGAGAGTGCACAGGGGTTCATCATCCCCACTTGTGATGGAGAGTGCACAGGGGTTCATCATCCCACTTGCTCCCCTCCTGGATTCGGAGATTTCAGCCTGTGCCTGGCAGCGGGTACTTTTATGATGTACTCCCAGTGGGCTGGTTTAAATTGAGATGTTACATACATGTTGGTGTATTTTTAATACTAGGGGAAGAGAGTGGTCAATGTCACCATCATTCATGGTGGAGCAAAAGAGAACAACTCAGTGTCTGCTTTGTTTTTTTAGACAGGGTTTCTCAGTGTAACAGCCTTGGCTGTCCTGGAACTCGTTCTGTAGACCAGGCTGGCCTCGAACTCACAGAGATCTGCTTCCCTAGTGCTGGGATTAAGGGCGTGCACCACCATGTCCAGCCATACAGTATCAGTTTCAGGGCTGTGTTATTATGACTTTTCTTTTTTAATGCCTTTTCTTATTTAATGTATCTTCTACATTGTCATAAATTTTTCTTGAAATTTTAATTGCCATATTTCTCCCTCCCCTTTCTTTCCTCTAAACCTTCCCATGTCCCTTCCTACTCTCCTTCAAATTCATGGCCACCTTTTCACTAATTTCTATTGCATACATATATGTATATGTATACACATATATATTCCTAAATTTACCCCATTCAGTTCGTGTAATGTTACTGGTGTGAATGTTTTCAGAGCTGACTCTTTGATGCTCTAAATACAAACTGGGCAGATCCACCCTCCCACTCCCAGCTTTCCTGAGTTGCCTATAGTTCCTTGTATAGGGCCAAGGCCTCGTGGGCATTTCCCTGTCTACTTTAGCATGTCTGACGTTTTCCTTGTTCAGCTCATGTTTGAGCAGTCATATTGGTGAGACTTTGTGGATTGGTGAAGCACTTTTTCCCCTGCTCTAGAGAATGTCATCATGTTCTGTGTAACTGATGTCTGAAGGGGTGTCTCTTATTTTCCAATCAGGGCTGTAATCCCCTTGCACAAACTGGCCGGAGCAAGCTGCAGAACCAGAGGGCGGTCCTGAACCAGCAGATCCTGAAGGCTGTGCGGATGCGGACTGGGGCCGAGAATCTTCTCAAGTGGGTACCTCTAGCTTTGCTACCTCAGCCAGGAGCCCTGGCTCTCCTGAGGGCCTGCCTGTGTGATGGACATGCAGAGCCCACACCCTCAGCTGGGATCTTGCTTTTCAGCTTTGAGATTCCTTCTCCTGGGTGGGTAGGTGGGTGGGTGAGTGGGTGGGTGGGGGCATCCAGACAGGTCCTTTCCTTGCCTAGAACTTGGTTATGTTAGAGACGGCGATGCTTTTTTCCACTCTGTTTGAGGAGAATTCTGACAGAAAGTGGAATCACAGCCTTGTGTGTGTGTGTGTGTGTGTGTGTGTGTGTGTGTGTGTGTGTATGTGTGTGTATATTTTTTAAGATTTGTTTAACTTTTTGTGTGTTTGCCTGCACATGTATGTACACTGTGTAATCCTTGGTGTCCACGGAGGCCAGAAGGCAGTATTGCAGATCCTCTGGAACTAAAATTGCAGATTGTTGTGAGCCACCATGCCAGTGCTGGAAATGGAACTTGGGTCCTCCACAAGAGCAGCCAGTGCTCCTAACTGCTGAGCATCTTTCCAGCCGGCTCCCCATCCCCACCCCCAAGTCGTAGCCATCTTGTTTGTCCAGTACTGTCTTAGCATTTGCTTCTGGACATGATTCCCTTGTTACGAGCAGGTTTTCTCCCTGGCCTGGTCCCACAGCCACACCAGCCCCAAATAATACACAGAGACGCTGTATTAGATATAAAGCTGTTGGCCTGTTACTAGTGTTTCTTATCCGCTAGCTCTGTCTTAAATATTAACCCATTTCCATCAATCTAAGTGTTTCCATGTGGTCTTATCTTACCAGAGAGCGGGCCTGGACCTCTGTTCTGTTGGTCTTATGTGTTGACTCTCCTACCTTTCCTGGAAACCTCTTTGTCTCCTAGTGCTGCCTATCTTGCTTTCCTATTGGCCAACAGGGCTTTATTCATTAACCAATAAGAGAAGCATATTTACAGAATGACATCTCCCATCACTCCCTTCTCCACTGCCCAGAGTTATGCCTGGCAGAGAGTCAGTGCTTGGTGGATGTGTGCTGACTGGGTAAGGGAGGGGAGAGCAGAAAGCAAAGGACATTTACATTACTAATGTCTGTCTTCCTAATGAAAGGAGTCATGGTAGGACATGGCAGCACATGCCTGTGGTGTCAGCTACTTGAGGGCTGAGGCAGGAGGATTGCCCGAACCCCAGAGTTTGAGACACCTGGGCAAAATAGCAAAACCCTGTCTAGGAAAAAAAGGATGGAGTTAAAGAGAGAGGCAGAGGGGTTGTGAAATAGTTACTTCCCAAGCAGAGTCCAGGAAAGCAGTACCTTTGTCTACACAGCTGCAAGTGCTCTCCATTTTGTATATTAGAATGAAGTCCTCCCCCCTCCCCAAGAGGACTACCTTTGGGTATGGGTTCTCGCCTTCCATCTTGTTGAGGCTGGGTCTCACTTCTGGTTCTTGAAGCACACAGAAACCCAAGCCATTAGTATTTCGAGGCAGGGGCGCGTTTACTGCCAACCCATCTCCCAGCTCCGCCCCCTCCCCGCGCCCCCAGTTTACAGGATAGTTCTTTTTTTTACGAGGCAGGGTCTCATAAAACGTGCTATATAGTTAAGGATGACCCGAACTTCTGACTCTCCTGCTTTTACCTCTTTGTGCATGTGTGGGCGTGCATGTGCATCCTTGTGCTGTGTGTAACTTTGTGGAGTTCGTTCCCTCCTTCTGCCGTGTAAACTTCTGGGGACCCGAACTCATCTTGGCAGCCTTGGCAGCGAGTGAGTGCCTTTATGGGCTGAGCCACCTGGCCAGCCCTGTTTTGCAGTTTTTATAGCAGATACTAGGGCGGTTCTGCGGGGCCTTGCTCTGTTAACAGAACAGCCCCGGAGGCCCAGGCCAGGCTCACTCAAATGGTCAGGTTGGCAGTTGTGCAGCTGATAGGCGGAGGGTGGGGCAGGGTTGTAAATGATTCTCCCAGAGACTGATAAGTTAAACACCCCCGATTAGAGACTGCCTGTAGAGGAAACCCTGAGGTATTTATTAATCTGACTCAAAGCACCAACACCAACAAAGCTTCCTGAAATCAAGGAGGGCATCAGGACAAGCCTCTCTCTGGCCCCACAGTGTCCCTGGCTGCCACTACTAGCAGCAGATAATTACTGTCATACTTTGGGCCCGGCTGTCCTGGCCTCAGATTGCTAGGTGCCCCACTAAGGTTCCTAGGTGAGGATAGTTAGGATGTGGGCAAGAGACCTTCGGGAAAACATCCCAGTCAGCGCAGGCTTGGAAACGAGGGTCTCTGCCTTTAACTGCTTGGGCTGAGAGAGGGGAGGTTTCGTGTCCCTTAAGGTCCTCCCCTTCCCCGTGTCAGCCAGGAGTCGGTGAGCTTCCTAGGGCTTGGTGAGAGATAACTGGCACTTTGAAGCGCCACTGGGACTGAGCACTGGCGGTACACACAGTCCTCCTACTTCCTGCCCCTCCCTTGAGAAAGGCGAGGCGGAGACCAAATAGTATTTATGCGATGGAGAGATCAAAGCAAGCTACAAGGTTGTTCGGTTTTGCTTAGCTAGTTCTTTGGTCAGAGAAGAGGCTGTTTAAACCTCCAGACGGCTTTCCCCTGCTAGTGAGACTAAACCAGGAGAGAGCGCCTGCCTCACTCTGACACCACAGTCAGTGTACATGCTGCAGAGGGAAGGGGCTGGGCTCCATGCTGGGAGCTTTGGGAATGGTGGGGTGGGGGTGGGGGAGTATGGGGCATATAGCCCAGGCTGGCCCGGAAGTCGGGAGATTTCTGTCTCAGCCTCCTTAGCAATGCTATTACAGACATGTACCACAACACCCTGGCCTTCCTTTATTTTTCTTTTCCTTCCTATCTTCCTTTTTTCTTTTTTTCCTTCCTTCCTTTTTCTTTTTCTTTCTTTTTTCTTTTCTTTTCTTTTCTTTCTTTTTTTTTTTTTCCTTTTTTCTTTTTGTAAGACGGGGTCTCACCGTGTAGCCTTGGCTGGCCTGGACATCACTGTGTGGCCTAGGCTGGACCTTGAAGTTGTAACGACCCTCCCGCCTCTGCCTGCTGAGGGCTGGGGTGGCAGATGTTTGCATGGGTGGGCACTCTGCCAATTGAGATACAGTCCCAGCCCCGTGTTGTGTTGTTTCTATTGAGAAAAGAATCTCACTGTGTAGCCCTGACTGGCCTGATGCAGGACTCCAGGCCTGTTTCACCACACTAGGCCTTTAAAATCTTAGGATCACTGAACTTGTAACTATTGGCAACCAGTTAACCGGTGGGGAGGGAAAAAAAAAACACCGACAGCCAAGCAAATAAGTCACAGGCCTTCAGTTCCTTTGTGATGGCTAGGCCCAAGGGTCAGGCTAGTGTTGCCCTGGCTGTAGCAAGGTTAATGACTGTTCAGATCAGTTCCTAGGGGTTCAAACACGACCGTGCAGTGGGTTACCTGAGTCCCCTTGGCCTTCAGACTGATGCCTGGTCCCGCACCTGACTTCTTCCCACACTGAGGATGTATCTGATGCCTTAGCCTAGGGTCTACATGGGGCACAGGGTGGCAACTCCCCCTCACCCCACCCTGCAGCCACCATGCTTGAATTCCTGGCAGAGTGGGATGTGGGAACAGTTCTGACAGAGCAGATAGCTTGCCAGAGTCAGTTACCCTGTCCTGATATGGTCTCCAAAGCGTGTGGGAGACACGGAGTCAGGGTGGGTGGAGTCTATCCTCAGAGGGACAGTGTTATGCCAGCCTGATCCAACAGCCATGTCAGCCCCAAATAACACACAGAGACACTGTATTAGATATAAAGCTGTTGGCCAGTTACTAGCGTTTCTTATTGGCTAGCTCTGTCTTAAATATTAACCCATTTCTATTGATCTAAGTGTTTCCACGTGGTCTTACCTTACCGGAGAGAGGGTCCGGACCTCTTCCCTCTAGTCTCTACATCTTGAATCTCCTCTCTCAGAATCCTCCTTGTTTCCTAGTCCTGCCTATCTTGCCTTCCTATTTGCCAGCAGTGCTTTATTCATTAACCAATAAGAGAAACATATTTACAGAATGACATCTTCCATCAGGACAGATTGACCAAAAGGTTTGGAAGGAAATGAAACTACTCGAAACCAAAAATGAAGAGTTGACATGGCCTAGTTCTAGAGTATTGGTATGCCATCCCCAGCACCACCCAAAAGCAGACAGGGACACGTGGGTCACAATGTGAAATGCCCATTTATTTTTGCGTTGGACAGTTCATTGCTGTGACAAATATCTGGAAAGAAAAACAAAAAAAAAAACAAAAAAAAAAAAAAAAAAAAAAAACAACTTCAAAGAGGCTGGATTTAGCCAGGTGGTGGTGGCGGACAACTTTAATCAGTACTCAGGAAGCAGAGGCAGGAGGATCTCTGTGAGTTTGAGGCCAGCCTGGTCTACAGAGTTAGTTTCAGGAGAGCCAGGGCTGTGTCACAAGAAACCCTGTCTTGGAACTCAAAGAGTGCTTCCTGCCTTTGCTTCTCAAGCCTGGTTAAGATTTGTGTTCTTTGTGTGTGTGTGTGTGTGTGTGTGTGTGTGTGTGTGTGTGTGTGTGTGTACACATGAGTGCTGGTGCTTGAGAAAGTCAGAGAAGTCAGATCCTCCCAGAGTTGAAGTGACAGACAGCTGTGAGCCCCCTGACATGGGTGCTGGGAATCCAACTTGGGTCCTCTTCAAGAGTGGCGCACACTCTTCACCACCGAGCTATCGCTCCAGCCTTGTAGGTGATCATATTCATAATCTGTTCGGTTTTGATTTATCTTTTGGTGGACAGTCATACTCTGTAGCCCATCCTGGCCTCAAGCTCCTAGCCCTTCTGTCCCTGCCTCCCAAGTATTAAGGAGATAGTTTGTGGCCTGACCTGTTCATGTGTGATGAGAGCAGGTTTTTGTCTGGTCTCTGCCTTTCAAGGCTAATTCCTTTCAAGGATTTCTCAAGATTCATGCCCAGCAGCTTGCGCTGTTGCTAGCCACGTCCCAGGTCCATTTGTTGACTGGTATGGTCAGGTTAGTGCAGGGTCTCTGAGGTAGCTCACCTGATTGCATCTAATAGTTACCCCCTGAGATTCCTTGTAGGAATGGCTCAGCAAGGAACCAACTAAAAGTATTCTCTCTCTCTCTCTCCGCAACAGAGTGGCCACAAACCAGAAGGTGAGGGAACAGGTTCGCCTGGAGCTGAGCTTCGTCAACTCAGACCTGCAGATGCTGAAGGAGGAGCTGGAGGGGCTCAACATCTCCGTGGGAGTGTACCAGGGCTCCGAGTGAGTGAGCAGTGCTTGCCAGATATTCTCTGGGCTGGAGAATGTGTCTGCAGCCAGGATGCTACCCCGGGCTGGTGTAGTGGACCACTGGGGTGGGAGGGATGAACTGTGAGTTTTGTAGGGAAAGGACCGGCATGTGGATTGAATGCCAAAAAGTGTAAACTGCTTTGATGTGCACACTTTTCTATGAAAAGTGGGGAGCTCATCCGAGTTCCCATAGACGATGGTAGGATGGGAATCCTTCAGAAATGGACCCTGTTAAATACTTGAGAAGTGAATACTGAGATTCAAACCCATTCCTCAGGGAGTATTTGAGGTGGGGCACTCAGCAGAGGTCAGAGATTCATTTCTCTGCTCACTATAGGTGAACCACAGAGGGTGGGGCAGAGAAATATTCATATTTAAGATGAAATAACCTGGTAGCTTGGGGCAATTATCCCAGCTATTCAGTAAACTGATACAGGAGGATCATGAGTTTGAGGCCAGCTCAGGCTACATAGCAAGATACTGTGTCAAAGTGAAAATAAAGTGGTTAGGAGATTGTAGCTCAGTGGTAGATCTCCTGCCTAGAATCCCCCAGTGAGGGGCTGGGGGTGTGGCTCGGTGGTGGAGCCCCTGCCTAGAATCCCTGGAGAGTTACCAGGTGCAGTGGTAGAGTATTTGCTTAGTTTGCACAAGGCCCCTTCCTAAGAGTCACAATAAAACACAATAACCAAAATGCCCCCAAGAAGTCGTTTCCATGCTTTTTGCATGGGGAAGCTGTGCCTTCTCAAGAAGTGGGTGAGCCTGCGTGGAAACAAGAGATGGTTTCCTGGAGTAACAGAAGGAATTTTCGAGTCACCTTGGAATGTGCCTTTCCTAATACTAATCCTTGTATGTCACCTGGGTCATTTCTCAAAAGTAGAGACAAGCATTCATACCTGGAACCCTGCTGGCTATTTGGGCCGTGACGCCTGTGTTTGTCTGGCTTACCTGTGGGCTCCTAAGGCAGTTTCATAAACCCAGTGAGAACAAACACCAACCCCCCCCCCCCCACACACACACACATCTGTAAGATTCTTTCAGCCTATGCTCCGGTATTAGATTCCAGTGTTTTGTTCACAAGGGCTGAGAGGCTCAAGCATTTCAGGCAGTGCAGTAGCATGGTGTGGGCTCCTGTTCCCTGCTGAAGGGCAGGCTGCTGCTTCTTACAAAGAGAGGCGCTTGCAGCTCCACGGGGCCCCTCCTCACGGTGGTTCCGGTTAATTTCCTGCATCACCTGAAAAAGTAGAGGGACCTGAGGATTCCAAGCGACACCTTCCATGTTTTCCAAGTGCATTTTCTCCTCTTCCTTATTAGCACCTTGGATTTCCCCCCCCCCCCCCAACACTTCTGTGAGGCGGGCAGAGAAGCCATGATCTCAGTGTGCGAATGAGAAACCTCAGAGGCCACAGAAAGTCATGTTAGCGCCACCCTGGGGTTGAAGGTCCCCTGGTGTCTTGAGTCTTCGGTGTAGCTGGCTCCCTTCTCACTGGGGTAGTTTCTACCCTTCATGAGGTGAGCCCAGGAGGACTGGGGCCTCAACAGTAAGACCCAGACTCGCCAGCTCCCACCAGGGTTCAGTCCTCTGGGGAGGCCACATACCTGGGTTGGGTCTCACCTGCCTTTAGCACCATTGTGCCATAGAGGTGGTTTCAGCTTTCAGCAGCGGTCCACTCAACCCTGCCCAGCATTCCTGGCCTTCTCTCCAGGCCAGGCTCAGCAGCCCATGGAGGTCTCTTGTTACAGGTCAAAGAGCTAAATCCCTATTTGCAAAAACACAACACTTCCTTCTGGCCCTGCCCTTAGGAATGTAGGTCCAGGGAGCATTCACAGGTCAATGTGTGGGGTGACAGAGTGGCCTTTGGGAGGATGTGCAGTGAGATACATGGTATGGCACGCCCCTAAAACAAGAGTATGCTGAGAGCCCCAGGTTCTATTGTGGAGATATATTGGGCGGGACACCACACACACACACACACACACACACACACACACACACACACACTGTGGTGGTGATGAGTAGAGGAGGGAGGTGACAAGTGGTTGTAGCTTAGAGGGAGGTTCGTGTGGCAAAAGGCAAAAAGCCAACGTGGAGACCAGTGACAATGCCAGACACGAGCCTCGCGCCCTTGGGCAGTCCTATGTTAACGCTAGCTAGCACAGTTGTTCATAGAGGGCTACCTCAGAGACGGTAGGGGCCTGGTGAATTAGGCTGATGCTTGATTTCTTAGACAGAGGAAGGCTGCTAGGTTGACCTAGGGACCAGTTTAGGGACCTGAGCTGGCTGTTGGAGGCAAGGTCATGGGTGTGAAGGAGCTGCTGGGTTGGGCTGATCATGGACCCTTTTGTGTTCTAGGGAGACCTTCACCATCCCTTTGATTCCTCTCGGCCTGAAGGAAACCAAAGAAGTTGACTTTTCAATCATCCTCAAGGTAACTCTCAAACAGTGGGCTCCGGGCGGAAATGATAACGTACTCTTTGCTGTGGCTTTTAAAGAAAGGTGCCACCTTGATTCACGTGTCAGTTGATGTCTGGGAGGTAACCCCGAGATCTTACTTGGCCCCTAATGAGGAGAATCTTGTGTATTCATTCCTCTGAAGCTCTTGCTGTCATCTCTGGTGGCTTATTACACCCTCTCCGTCCTCATTATTATGGGACTGGAACCCAGGGCCTTCTGTGTGGAGGCAAGCGCTCTACAGAGCTGTGTTCTTCGTCTGTCTTTGGCGACTTTGTAGCTCCTTCTGTGTGCTGGACAAAAGGCAGATTACACTCTATTTTAGTGTCTTTATTCTCAAAGAATTTTTTAACTTTATGTATGTGTATATTTATTTGTGTGTTTTGTGTGTATGTGTGTCTGTTGTGTGTGTATGTGTGTTCTCTATGTATATGTATGTATATGTGTGTGTTCTCTATGTGTATGGGCGTGTGTGCATATATGTGTGGGTGTGTAGGTTGCAGACTGATGGATAGGCAAATGTTTATGGGTATATGGAGACCTTAGGACAATTTCCAGTTGGTTCTTTTCTTCCATCTTTTAGGTCCCAGGACTAGAACTCAGGTCATCAGACTTGGCAGCAAGTGCCTTTACCCTCTGTGCTGTCTTGCTGTTCTTTTTCTTTGAGACAGTCTCACTATGTAGCCCAAGCTGTAACTCATATGCATGAGGAGCCCTTGGAGGAGGGCCAGAGGGCATAGGATCCCCTGGGTCTGGAGTGAGGGGCAGCTGCAGGCCACCTAATGAGTGCTGGGAACCTAACCCAGGTCTTCCGTCAGAGCAGAGCTGCTCAAAATGTATCTTATAAAAATAGTTGGTTAGTACTTTGAAAACATCTTTGTTTGACCTCTGTTATCAGAAATTGTTCATCTATTGACATAAATAAGCCTTAACAAGGGCATTTAAAATTGTTACTGTTAGGGTTGGTTATGGGTATTTGCCTGCATGCATGTATGTGTACCATGGGCATGCAGTACTGGTAGCAGCCAGAAGAGGGCTGCAGATCCCCTGAACTGAGGTTAAAGGTGGTTGTAAGCCACCTTGTGGGTGCTGGGAAATGAACCCAGGTCTTTGGCAAGAACAGCTCTTAGTTACTGAGTCATGTATGTCTCCAACTCCTCCAGGCTCTTGTTTGTTTTCTCTTTAGATAGGGTTTCTCTACGTAGCCCTGGTTGTCCTCACTTTGTAGACCAGACTGGCATGGAAGGCAAAGATCCACCTGCCTCTGCCTCCCAAGGGCTGGGATTAACTGTGTGTGGGGAGGATACTCCAGTTGGAGAAGGGCAGGCAATAGCAATTTAGGACTCAAGGTTATCAGAAAATTGATTTCTGGGAGGAAAACACATAGTGGCGTCCGCTTTCTGCTGTCATTTAAAAGGTTATTGAACTTTGGACTGTGACCTGCCCCTGCTCTGTGGCACTCGAGACAGTGGTGGAAGGAATGTCTTCAGTTGTGTTTGGCTCTGTTTCTTTAAGAGTTAGCTTAGTGCCAGAGTTACAAGAATGCAGGCATTCTTAAAGGCCATTTGTGTTACAGAAACCTGGGGGGTTTTATGGCATCTGCACACATCCAAATAGGTCATGTGCCAAATTCCACATGAAAGCTAGGAAAAAATAAATATCCCATGTTGTGGACATGGCCAACCACTGCCTAGCTGAGGTCCCCAACCGTGTCATTTCAGCCTAAAAGGGAGCCTGCGCTGTCAGGCATGCAAACAGGAGACCAGTTAGCAGACTTGCCAGTGAACTTGATCTGGGCGGTTCCATTTCAGACCTGACTTGTGTTTCCTTGGAACATTAGGTCATGCAAACGTCATGATGTGATTTGCTTTACTTAAAGACATAAACTTTAAAATAAGTAGCCATATGCATTAGCAAGTCCCGCCAGGGCTGGAAGATGTGCTTCAGTAAAGAGGCCTTGCCTGGCATGAAGACCCTGGGTTCAGCCAGGCGGTGGTGGCACAAGCCTTTGATCCCAGGCGGTTCTCTGTGAGTCTGAGGCCAGCCTGGTCTACAGAGTGAGTTCCAGGTCAGCCAAGGCTACACAGAAAAACCCTGTCTGGAATAAACCAAAAAGACCCTGGGCTCTATTCCCAGCATTAGGAGATGAGGGAGAAATGCCATTAAAATAAATTATTTTCTGGGCAGTACTTACTTTTTGGTTTGGTTTGATTTTTTTTTTTTTTTTTGATGTAGGGTCACATGCAGCCCAGGCTGGCCTTGAACTCCTGGCACTCCTGTCTCTGCTTCTCAAGTACAAGCACCACACATAACTTTATGTTTTAGCAGTACTGGAGATTGGACCCGAAGTTGCACAAATGGCTAGACAAGTGCACCGAACTACATTCCTAGCGCCTATTTTTATTTTTTCATTGGTGACTTTTAGGTTAGTTATTTTGTGTGTTTGTATGTATATGTGTATGTTTTTGCAGGTGTGCTCATTTGTGCATACGTGTGTGTGGAGAGCAGAGGTTAAAGTTGGGTGTATTCCTCTATCGAGCTCCACCTTGTTTGTTTGTCTTCTGAGACAGGGTTTCTCTGTGTAGTCCTGGCTGTCCCGGAACTCATTCTATAGACCAGGTGGCTTCGAAATCACAGATCTGCCTGCCTCTGCCTCCCAAGTGCTGGGATTAAATGCCTGCACCACCACTGCTTGGTTACTCCTTATTTTTTTTTTTTAAATATAATATTTCATTACTTCTTGGAGTACCTCACATATTCATTTTGATCATATTCACCTCCTATTTCTCCCAACTCCTCCCAGGTCCACCCACCCACCCACCCCCTAACTTTATGCATTTTTATTCTTATAACCCACCACATCCTATTTGAACTGCCCACGCACTCAGGGACATGGGACCACCCATGGAATCACAGCGGATCTATAGGCCATACTCTCCACATCCTTAAAGAAAACCAACTCTCCCTCTCTCGGAAGCCAGCAGCCAGCAGCTTGTCAGTCAGGGTGGGAGCTCATTCATGCCTTTCCCAGCTCCGCTGGAGCGCTGACTGGTTGATCTTGTGCAGACAGCCACTGCTTCTGTGGATTCATGAGTGCATGGGTTCTGTTGGGTCCAAAAGATGTTTGCCTTGCTCAGGTCATCCCGAACCACCTCATTGTTCTGAGACAGGATCCCTCATCAAACGCGCAGCCCATTCAACTTCCTTTTTTTCCCTTTCGAGACAGGGTTTCTCTGTATTGCCTGTCCTGGAACTAGCTCGGTAGATCAGGCTGGCCTCGAACTCACAGAGATCCACTTGGCTCTGCTTCCGAGTGCTGGGACTAAAGGCGTGTGCCACCACCGCCTGTCTATAAAAACCTCTTAAAAAGGAAAAAATACATAAGTACATTTCAAGTTTAGATTTGGGTTCCAAAATATAGTGTGTGTATATAACCAACCTGAAATCTGAAAAAGCCTGAAGTCAGAAGCACCAATTATCCCAAGTGTTTTGGATAACAGCTATTCATCTAACTTGCATATATTGTTAAGCCTGTGTGGCTCACCTTCCCTGTGTGAGCCCATCGAAGGGGAAGATCTTCAAGCAGTGCCTAGCATATAGCAAGTGCCCCTCACTGTCTGTTGAATGACAACACGAACTCATGTCCATTGTCATGGGTTGTTATTGTGCTCTTAATTAAAGGGTTGTTCTGGGGTATCTTATGACTCTAATCACCAGGGCTGCTCACACGAAGGTTTGCATCCCATCCAGAGGTCCCTAGGCCCAGGTCGCCTTGGCTCCGAAGGCCACATATCCAGGTCCTGAGTCAGCATAAAGGTGGAGGATCTGAGCACTTGCAGGCCCGTCAAAAGTGGCTAATGTATCACTTAACTGTCACAGAGACATTTTTCCCTTCAATTTTTTTTCCTTTCTGTTAAAAGATATTATTTTTCCAGCCTGATCTACAGAGCCAAGTTCTAGGATAGCCAGGGCTACACAGAGGAACACTGTCTTGAAAAACCAAAAAAAAAAAAAAAAAAAAAAAAAAAAAAGTGATATTCTTCTTTTTAAATAGTGTCTATGTGGGGGGTGTTATGCACATGAGCAGGAGCTGGGGGTGGGGCTGGAGGCCTCTGATCCGCTGGTGCTGGACATGCCAGAAGCTGTGGTCCATCCATCTGCTCTGGGTTCTGAGAAGTTAACTTGGGTCCCCTGCAGGAACAGCCCTCACACTCTTAACCTGCTCTTCAGCAGGCTTGGCTCTGTTTGTCTTTGTTTTTTTTTTAAAGTCAGTCTGACACGTACATAACCCAGGCTGTCCTGACAATCGGTGGGCGGTGGGCGGTGGGCGTTGTAGCTTGGGCTGCCTCAAATTTTCCAGTCCCCTTGACTCAGCTCCCCAAGTGCAGGGATTTCAGGTGCCACAAGCCCAGCTGGGTTTGTGATTTTGACTCAGTGTGTTTCTCTCCTGCTGGGACTGAAGGGGACTCCCTACTGTGGGGGCTGCCTTCCAGACCCTGGATTAGGCACAAACCACACCCAAATACCAGGGAAGCAGGGGAGAGAGTTAAAAGGGGCTGCTTCCTGACTCAGGCTGAACATCAGCAGCAGACGACCTTGCGGGTGTCATTCTTAAGAGGGGGAAAGGGGAAGGTCTGTGTTAGACTGGGTGGGATGCTGTTGTAAAGGAGATAGAGGATGAGGGAGAAGGGGAAGGGAAAGGGGACAGGGATGTTTGTCCCAGAGGGACAAGGGACTGCCTCTGGATAGAGGAGACAGATGTGGCACTTGAGCAAAAATGGCAGTTTGTAAAGGTAAAGGGGGAGACCCCATGTTACTATGAGGTGTTTAGTTTTAATTGGGCGTGTTAATCAGGTGAGCCAAAGGCAGCCTCGATAGCTGGACCTTGGTAGTCAGCCTCAGGAGGAGGAAGTGGCGGAATAAGAACCCAGGGCCTTGTGTGTGCACTGCAGCCCCGCCCCTCTCCCGAGCTGCAGCCCCAGCTACTGACTTGCCTTGTCTTTTTTCCTACAGGATTTTATCTTGGAACATTACAGTGAAGACAGCTATTTGTTCGAAGATGACATTGCAGATCTTATGGACCTGCGGCAGGTAAGTGCAGCAAGTCGGTGAGTCATCTCCACTTGCCAGGGCCTGGGGACATCCCATGACTGACACCTGTAGCCTTAAGAGAGTCCAGGATGCTGGGCACGGAGAGGGGCTGTCAGGTCATCCAAGGCATTTGCTGTACCAGAAAGCCACAGTAGGGGTGAGACCTGCTCGTGTTGGGGCTGGGGCCCCCAGGATTCCTCACTTTGTCTCCTCCCCCTCTCCTACAGTTCATGATACCCTCAGCGGGGTATCTCTCTGAGTGTTCAGGGATGGGTCCTGGGCCCCGATTCTCACCTGGCTCATCTCTTCCTTTTCAGGCTTGTCGAACACCCAGCAGGGACGAGGCGGGGGTCGAGCTGCTCATGTCGTACTTCATCCAGCTGGGCTTTGTGGAGAGTAGGTTTTTCCCGCCCACCCGCCACATGGGGCTCTTGTTTACCTGGTAGGTGCTCTCTGGGGTCCCCTCTGCTGTGCTCCTCATTCTGACTGTGGTGTTTGCCTAGCAGGTTCCAGGGCCTCGACTGTCTGTGAATTGCTGTTTGTGTACAGAGCCGGAGAAAGATAGTGCAGCTGTGGCGTCTTGCTTCTCAAAACAAACAAGCCTTGAGAAGGCGGCGTGCCTGCGTGCGTGCGTGCGTGCGTGCGTGCGTGCGTGTGTGTGTGTGTGTGTGTGTGTGTGTGTGTGTGTGTGTGTGTGTGTTCGGTTTGTCATTGAGGGAAAAACCAGAGCCCACAGGTAGCACTAATGAGAAGCAAGACAAGAAATTTGTTTTGAGAAGATTCTCTTTTTATGTGGGGTGGGGCTGTGAGTGAGAGCTGAAACTGAGTCTGATCCCAATGACAAGGGCAGCAAAAAGAAAGAGAAGTTTGGTTTTGTTTTTAAGACAGGATTTCACCATGTAGTCCCAAGATCCTCTTAAACTGACCTCAAACTAGCTGCGACCCTCCTGGCTCTGCAACCCAAGTGCTGTGATTACAGATATGCATCCCCAGAAGGAGATCTTGCAACTTGAAACAAAGCATTTGACTCTTTTCCATGATTATTTAAAGATTAATACAGTTCCTTGAGAAAGGTTCTTGATAGGTGGCCCAGACAGGACAATCCTCCTGCCTCAGCCTAGAGAGGGTGCCAGGAAGATAGACATGGCCCATAAGATCTGGCTTATGGGGATTTTTTTTTTTCTTTTGAGATAGGTCTCTTTGTATATCCCAGGCTGGCTACAAATTCATGGTCCTCCTGAGTGCTGAGATGATGGGTTTGAACCCCATATAGTCAGATCTGTCATTTTGCTTGGAAACAAAAGCCTGATTGCCTGTGAGTCTTATGTGAGAAGTGAGTTTTTGTTCTTGTGTGCTCAAAGTGGCATTAATTAGCCAAGTCATCTGTATGACTGGGACCTGTTTGTTTTACGTAGGTATGACTCCCTCACTGGGGTTCCGGTCAGCCAGCAGAACTTGTTGCTGGAGAAGGCCAGCATTCTCTTCAACATCGGGGCACTGTACACCCAGATTGGGACCCGCTGTAACCGGCAGACACAGGCTGGGCTGGAGAGCGCGGTGGATGCCTTCCAGAGAGCTGCAGGTTCGAGTCCTCCAGGCTAGCCATGCTACAGTCTCAGGCTCACCAGATGGCACCAATCGTGCTGGTTCTGACCCCAGCTGAAAAGAGTCTTGCTCAGGTCCTCAGTAGACCCACCAAGTACTCATGCCTCACAAGTCTGACAAGGGCTGGGGGCGTGGCTCCTTAGAGCACTTGCCTAAACACCACTAGTGAGGGGCTGGGGTGTGTGGCTCAGAGGTAGAAGGCTTGCCTGGCTTGAGGGAGATCCTGCGGTCAGTCTGTAATATCACTCACAAGGAGGAAGGAAAACCTCTGTGCCAGGAGACTTACTCAATGGTTGCCATCATGTGATCTCGGTCCAGTAGGGCTCATATGCATAGTGAGGTTTGTAGTTAATGATTAGGTTTTTCCAGGTGAGTGACTTCTGTGATGGCCGGGAATAGTTCTCAATGATGGGAATACAGTAACTTGCCCTAACTAGTGAAGATGTAGCCGTTAGAATTTTCTATTAGCTGTTAACTACATAGGTCAATACAATGATCTATGCATGAGAGGGTGTGATCCAACACATGCGTGTGTGAAACTATAAACGGTTCTGAAGCCTGTATGAGAGCTGGGGACGGAGCTCAGGGATAGGGCATTTTCCTAGCATGGGTGAGACTCTAGGTTTGACCCCCAGTGCTGCAGAAAAACGAAGGGAATGGGGAAAGGAGGAGGAAGAAAAGACAAAAGAAAGAATCCCCATGCATGTCCATATCTGACATAGACTGGGCACAGTCAAAGATTAACAACCAACAATAAAAGAGAACAAAGAAAATGATATAATGTGATAAATGTTATGAATTGCTTGTTTCTGGAATTTTCCGTGCAATATTATTATATTACAGTTGGCTAAAGGTAACTGAGCTGGAACAAAGCTGAACCTCAGATAAAGGGAATTACTGTTATTACCTGCACTTTCATATTATGCTTAACTGGCCAAGTTTGCGAAGCCTGTAGTTGCTGATTTCAGGGCTGTTGGGTACACGTACCAGGAACCCACTGCTTCCTTCCTTCCTTCCTTCCTTCCTTCCTTCCTTCCTTCCTTCCTTCCTTCCTTCCTTCCTTTGGTTTTTTGAGACAGGGTTTCTCTGTATTGCTTTGGAGTCTGTCCTGGAACTCGCTCTGTAGACCAGGCTGGCCTCGAACTCACAGAGATCCTCCTGCCTCTGCCTCCCAAGTGCTGGGATTAAAGGCATGCACCACCAACATCTGGCTGGAACCTGCTGCTTTTATCACTCTCAAGAGATTTCCGAACACTCCCAGCTGCTTTTTCCACAGTGCCAGGGGCAGAACTTGTTTTGTAGTTCAGGCTGGCCTGGGACTAGGGGTCCTTCTGCCCCAGCCCAAGTGCTGAGATGACAGATGTGAGCCACCACAATCGGTTTGGGGTTTTCCTCCTCATCACCTTTACAGCTCAGCCTATTATGAACCAGAATCAGGAGCAAAGAAGAAAACCAGCTTAGCACCAAGCTGTTAGGGCCGAGTCACGACAGTTGGTGCATCAGGCCAAGCTGGCGCTGATTGAAGAATCAGAGGGCTCTGTGTTGCTCCTGCCTAGTGGGCCCTGTGTCTGCAGAATGGAGGGTTATAATAGCAGTTGGGTGCAGACCACAGGGTGCCCTCCAAGCAGCCAGCTTGATAGCTTCTTTTTTATCCTTTGAGACCGATTGTCACTATGCTGACCAGCAAGGCTTTTAACCATGGTGGGCTAGGCTGGTTTTGAACTTGAGGTGTTGGTTGTGCCTTGGCCTCCTGCGAGCTCCCTTTCACCCTCTGAGCCCATCATTTCCTCTCCCTGCATGAACCTGCCTGGAAACATCGCTGTAAAATCTGTGAAGGACCACAGCTTTGCCATTTTGACTCACGGAGGCAAGGTCTTGTTAATATTTACCTCAGTTAGCATTGGCCTCAAACTCTCCATCTCTGGTATGCTGGGATGGCAGGTTTGTTTTAATTGTGGCCGGCCTCTGAGGAGTCTTAGGCAGCCACACTTTGTGACCTGCCTCCGAGGCTTCAGAAATACAAACAAGGAAACTTAGTGACAGGCCAGTCTGGGATGGAGGAAGGGAGGGAGCTGGCCACCTGGAGCAGACACCATCCTTCTCTGGGGCAGCAAAACCAGGAGAACCAGTTGGATGGGTTGCAAGCAGTCCAGTCTCCTCCAGCTCCAAGTTAACCTTCAGTCATTGTGTGCTTCAGTGTCAGGAGTCAGTAGAGGGTGGCAGCGTGGCCATGTCCAGCGGAGGCTTCCCCAGGGAAAAGCCCTGGCACCCGTCACTCACTCCGCCAGCTTTCTGGTTTCTCCATCGCATGCCCAGTCATGGATGGAATGTCCCAGGTGGAACAAAAACAAAGGAGGGCCAGCTGGTCCCCTTGCTTCACGCATATGTAAATGTCTTAGAAAAGAATCTATTTGAAAAAAAAATGTGATGAGGTATGGATATCATAAACTACAGTTTTAACTGTTTCTTACTGTGCTAAATATGCGTGAGATGCAATTACCTTGTTGACATTTTCTTAAGTGTACAGCTCAGCTGCAGGGTACCAGGGCAGCCATCACCACCCTCCAGCTCCAGCATGGCCTCATCATGCATACTGGAGTGGGCCCTGCTTATTCATGCTTTTATTCACTTATCCAGACGCGGTCATCTGGACATCTTTCTGCTTCACCCTTCCAAGTGCCGGCATTATAAGGGTGTGTCACCTGGCATCTGTGTGTCTAGGAGACTTCAATGTCCCTTTCCTTGTTCCTGCAGCTCCTAGTGACCTCAGTTCTACTCTGTGCCTTTGAGTTTGGCTATCCCAGGAACCTCACCAATTGGAATCCTGTACTGTCCATCCTTCCATGGCTGGCTTCTCGTCCTCAGTATAAAGACTTCATTCATGTTGTCTATACATCTGAGTTGCCATCTCCTGTCTTCTGAGACAGGGTCTCACTATGTAGCCCTGGCAGGCTGAAATTCACTGTGTAGACCAGACTGGCTTGGAACTCACAGCGATCCCCCCTCCCTCTACTTCCCCAGTGCTGGCATTAAAGGCCACCACATTTGGCTCCTTCCTCATTTGACTTGTGTACGGTGCTGGGAATCAAGCCTGGGGCCTCTCACGTTGTAAGCACATACTGTGCCATTGAGCTTTGCCTCCAGCCCCTCATCTTTTTTTTTTTTTTTAAGGCTTAAGAATATTCCACTGTCTGTGTGTAGATATTTTGATCACCTGATACTCCATCAATGGTCATTTGGAGAAGTCTATCTATTGGCTAATGGGACTAGAGCTGCAGTGAGCCTGGGTGTCCAAGTAGTGGTTAGGTCCTCCATGCAGTTATTCAGGTCTTCACAAAGGAGTGGAATGGCTAGCTAGCATGGCAACTGAGAATCAGGTAGAATCTTGACATATTTATAGCCCAGAGTATCTCTGAACATTTCATCCTCCTACTTCAGCTTCCCTAGTGCTGGGATTAAAGGTGTGTACCACCTTTAATATTTAATATTTTTTCAAGATGCTTTAGGATTATAAGTGTGTGCCGCCTTTACATATCAATTATAGATGTCTGCCATGTATTCGTGTATGTATGTGTGCATCTATAACAGAAATATGTATATGTTATAAGTTGTATATGCACATTAGATAGATGGATGGATGTATGGGTAGATGGGTGGGTGGATGGATGGATGGGTGGATGGATGGGTGGGTGGGTGGATGGATGGATGGGTGGATGGATGGATGGATGGGTGGATGGATGGATGGGTGGATGGATGGGTGGATGGATGGATGGGTGGGTGGATGGATGGATGGATGGGTGGGTAGATGGATGGATAGATGGGTGGGTGGGTGGATGGATGGATGGGTGTGTGGATGGATGGATGGGTGTGTGGATGGATGGATGGGTGGGTAGATGGATGGATGGATAGATGGGTGGGTGGGTGGATGGATGGATGGATGGATGGGTGGGTGGGTGGATGGATGGGTGGGTAGATGGATGGATGGGTGGGTAGATGGATGGATGGGTGGATGAGTTTTCTTTGCGTAGTTAGTGGCTCATGCTCAGGGCCTCCTGTGTGCTATGCAAGCACTCACAGGTGAGTGGATGAGTTTTCTTTGCGTAGTTAGTGGCTCATGCTCAGGGCCTCCTGTGTGCTATGCAAGCACTCACAGGTGAGTGACACCCCCCAATAGTCGCATTTTCTTTCTTCTTTCTCTACAGCAGCATGATAAAATAACTGTGACTTCCTACTAAAGAGCAACAAATTCTTATTCTAGGGGTCTTAAACTACCTGAAAGAGACATTCACTCATACTCCAAGTTATGACATGAGCCCTGCCATGCTCAGCGTGCTGATCAAAATGATGCTCGCCCAAGCCCAAGAAAGTGTGTTTGAGAAAGTCTGCCTTGCAGGGATCCAGAATGAGTTCTTCGTGCTGGTAAAGGTGGCTCAGGAGGCAGCCAAGGTAAAGGCTTCTCAGTTCCTGTGACTTCTGGGTAGGCAGGATCCGCTGGTACAGGTGCAGGGTGTGTGTGTGTGTGTGTGTGTGTGTGTGTGTGTGTGTGTGTGTGTGTGTGTGAGTGACTGTAGCAGCTCCCCCACTAACTGAGCAATGTGCCAGGGCTGCCACGGTGATTGGTCCACGTTTGCTTGGCAGGTACTAATGTTACAGATACGGATCATGGCGTCCATCTGCAGCTTAGCTGAAAAAGCGGCCTAATGACAGTTGCTTGATCCTCTGTTAAGGCTGATGCTGACAGCGGGCAGACCTGCTTGGCTTTATGCCTACATTCTGGAACATTCTCCAGCAGGGGATTGATTTGGCTGAGAAGAAAGGGCTCTTTCTCTGCAGCCAGGCTTGGGAGGACGCCTGTGCCAGGCTTCCCTTGCCCACATCTCTTCCGTTTCAGGTGGCAGAGGCCTACCGGCAGCTGCATGCAGCCATGAGCCAGGAGCCGGTGAAAGAGAACATCCCGTACTCGTGGGCCAGCGTGGCCTCTGTGAAGGCCCACCACTATGGGGCCCTAGCTCACTACTTTGCCGCCACTCTCCTCATCGATCACCAGCGTAAGGCTCGGGCTCGTAACGCTTGTGGGCTTGCTGCCTTTGGGGGATGCTGAGCTGAGAGTGGCTATCACACAGGCCTGTGGAATTCAGGGTTGACCACTGTACTGGGAGTCAGGGGGGATAAATAGACAAGGTTTCTCTGTGTAGCCCTGGCTGTCCCCGAGCTCACGTTGTAGATCAGGCTGGCCTCCCAACTCGTAGACATCCGTCTGCTTCTTTCTGCCTTCCAAGTGATGGGATTAAAGATATGCACCACCACCACCCAGCTTAAAATTATTTTTTAGTATTTATCTTAAATTTTATTTCATATTGTCTCAGCTATTCTTAACATTGCTGCAAAGAGACGCCGTGACTAAGGCATTTAACTGGGGGCTTGCTTGCAGTTTCAGAGGGGTTAGTTTATGACCATTATGGCAGGATGCATGGCACCAGGCAGTCACGGTGCTAGAGAAGTATCCGGAAGCTGCATCCTTATCCATAGGCAGCTGGCAGAGAGACAAAGAAAGTCACCGGGTCTCGTATGGACTTTTGAAATCTCAAACCCCACACCCATAGACATACCTCCATCAAGGCCACACTTCCTAATCCTTTACAAATAGTTCATCAACATAGGCAAATATATGAGCCTATATGGGCCATTTTCATTCAAACCACGATTATGTGAATCTGTATGTGGGGATCGTACATGTGAGTGCAGTGCCCACAGTGGCCAGAAGAGGGTGTTACATGCCCCAGAGCTAGGAACTGAACTAGGGTTCTCTGAAAGACCAGTAAGACCTGTGTGCACTTTTTTGAGACAGTTTCTCTGTGTAACAGCCCTGACTGTCCCGGAGTTCATGTTGTAGGTCAGGCTGGCTTGGAACTCACAGAGATCTGCCTGCCTCTGTCTCCTAAGTGCTGGGATTAAGAGTGTGCGTCACCACTGTCCGGTTTATTTTCATTTTTAATTTTGGAAGTTTTGAGGATGAAATACAGTGCCTTACTCAGTAGTTTTTTTATTTTAATTCATGTAATTATTGTGTATCTACTTAAAGATGAGGTCTCCCTAAGTAGCCTAGGCTGGTCTTGAACTCAAGAGCCTCCTGCATTAGTCTTTTGAATGCTAAGAATAGGTGTGTGCCACCACACACATCCTCAGGTAATCATTTTGCTTTGTTTTGTTGAAATTGGATGTCATGCAGCCCAAGATGCCCTTAAACTCCTATTCTTTCTGTCTCTCTCGTAAGCGGCAGGCTTTTAGGTGTGTGTCCAGCTAAGGTGATATATATTTAATAAGTGAATAAATTAATTAATTTTTATGTGCTGTCGAGCATCTTGGCCCATAGATAATATTTGAAATGAATCAAAATTAGTGCCATAAAAATCCATGATTAAACTTTTAAATAAAAAATCGGGCATGGTGGTACATGCCATAAGTCCCAGAATTCCAGAGTCAGAGGCAGAGGGATCTCTGTGAGTTTGAAGCCAGTTTGGTCTATAGAGTGAGTTCCAGGACAGCCAGGACTACATAGACAGACCCTGTCTCAAAAAAAGAAATTCAAAACAAAGAAAAAACTACCACCAAAATTAAAACAGATTTCACAAAAAGTCCTGGTTTGACTCCTGGTGGTGGTGGTGGAGCTTATCTTTAATCCTGGCGCTCGGGAGGCAGAGGCTGACCTGGTCTACAGAGTTTCAGGACAGCCAGGGCTATTATACAGGGAAACCTTGTCTCAGGGAGGGAGGGAAAAAGTCTGTTTTGAGCCCTAGTGGAGGCCTGTTTGAAAAGGATCGGTGTCTTACACACCGTGCATGGGTCTTTCTCTTTCTGTTTGAATAAGATTCTGCCACACACCCTAGGCTGGCTTCGGGCTCCCGGTCCCTCCCTGCCTCAGCCCCTCAGTGCTGCGTGTGAGCTACCATGCTCTATTCCTTCATTTTGATGTGTTAAAAATTATGGGGCGGGGATATATTCCCATCCTAAGCATCACACTCACACAATTAGCAATAATATCACATGGTCGGATGCACAGCTTGGCAGTTAGACTGCTCGCCTAGCACGCAGGAAGCCTGGGTTCAGTCTGTACTGGAAAAGCTGGGCGTGGAAAAGCTGGGCGTGGTGGTATCCACCTGTGACCCTCCAACTTGGAAGGGGGAGGCAGGAGTGTGAGATGTTTAAGGTTATCCTCAACTACATATAGTAAATGCCGGTCCAGCCTGAGCTACTAGAGACTCTATCTCCCAAATTAACAAAAAAGGCCTCTTCCAGGAAGGAAGAAAGGAAGGAAGGAAGGAAGGAAGGAAGGAAGGAAGGAAGGAAGGAAGGAAGGAGACTTACAGGGGTATGGCAGTCCCTGGTAGGAATGCAAATGGGGTAGCCACAGGGTCCCAGCCATGCAAGAAGGCTCCATATAATGGTCACCTTGGAGGAGGAGGTTCAAATCCTGAGCCCTGATTATGTGGCTGTCCCCTTGGGAACGAAGGCTTAAGGCCCGGTAGCCTGGGCTATGCCTTGGAGCCAAAAAGAGCTTGGTGGCATTGTTGACACAGAGCTCGGGTCTGGGGCACTGTCTCCAGAGGGATGTAACCTGTGGCTGTCTTTGTAGTAAAGCCAGGCGCTGATGAGGACCATCAGGAGAAGTGCCTGTCGCAGCTCTATGACCACATGCCGGAAGGGATGACACCTCTGGCCACGCTGAAGAATGATGGGCAGCGTATGCTACTGGGTGGGTGTTCCTGTCCCGGGGTCGGGCTCTGCTTGCTCCTCAGCCCCCAAACGGGGCTCCGAGGGAGGGCTTGGGAAAGGAGACCACCCTGCACTGAGAGATGGTGTGTCCTAGTCCTAGTCACAGGCAGCTTTCCAGAGCTAAGTCCTCAGCTTCATGAGTGTCCAAGCTTCCGAACACAGCCTGGTCCTTGACTACTTCCTGACACTGTAGCTGTTCATGGACGGCCCTGTGCCACACTGCTGTGGGAACCGTTGTTGTCCCCTCCCCTCTCCTTCCCTCCCTTCTGAGAATTGGGGGTTGAATAAAGGGCCTCGTGTGTGCTGGGCAAACACATGACCACTCACCATGCCCCTGCCTTTTTTGACATTTTTCATTTGGGGGCAAGTTCTTGGTAAGATGCCCAGCTTTGGAGCCCAGGCCAGCCTCGAGCTTGCCGCCCTCCTGCCTCGGCTCCCAGGTGCTGGCAAGCACTGGCTCCTCTTGTCATTTGTGCTTCACCCACAGCAGTGAAGGCTGGGGATGGGGAACCCTGGTTTGGTGGCGAGCATGAGCATCTCCTCATCTTGGTGACAGTGGCTCTGCCTCCGGGGTGCCTTGGCTGTGCCTCTCTCACAGCAAGTCACACGGGTCACCTCCTCTCATCCCACCACCCTGGCTGAGGTCACTTTAGCAGAGCTTACCTACCTCACGTTGACCCCATTGAACCCCACATGGCCCCACGAGATAGGCCTGGTAGGACCCCTCATTTTCATAGCTCGCCCCACAGACCCTGGCCACCTTAGTCCTCGGCTCACACCCTGATGGGCCCCTCTGCTCACACCCTGATGGGCCCCTCTGCTCACACCCTGATGGGCCCCTCTGCTCACACCCTGATGGGCCCCTCTGCTCACACCCTGATGGGCCCCTCTGCTCACACCCTGATGGGCCCCTCTGCTCACACCCTGATGGGCCCCTCTGCTCACACCCTGATGGGCCCCTCTGCTCACACCCTGATGGGCCCTTCCTTGGCACTTGGGAGGCCAGGGGTGAGCGCTGGCCCTGGCTGTGACTCACTCTGCCCTTCTTCCCGCCCGCCCTCCTTCCTTGCAGACCTGGTAAATGCTCCTGTCCCAGGGCCTTTGGACTTGCTTGTTCTTTTAGGAGCATTTTCCTGTCACGTATCCTCATGGCTGCTGCTTTACCTCAGAGCTCTGCTTTAACCTAGCTGTCCTGTTGGTAGAGCTTTCCCTAGCACACGGCCCTGGGTTGTCTCCCTGGGACCACATAAAACAGGTGTAAGAGAATATGCCACACCTATGATCCTAGCATTAGGGAGGTGGAGGCAGGGACCAAAAGTTCAAGGTCAGCCTTGGCTATATAGTAAGTTTGAAGCTAGCCTGGGATATTTGAGAACCATCCACCACCCACCAAAAGAAGAAAAGTTACTTCAGCAAATATATATGCTTGCGCGCACACACACACACACACACACACACACACACACACACACACACACACACACAACAGGAGAAAATACTTCCCTCTTTTTCAGTTACTCAATCAGAAAAGCGTTTCTTGGTCTGGGAGATGTTTCTGTCTGCAGGTAAAGGACATCTGCACCGAGCCATTGGCTGCCACGAGGAGTCGCTGAGGGAGGCCAACCTGTGCAAGAAGTTGCGAGACATTCAGGTGCTTCGCGATGTGCTGTCCGCCGCCCATCAGCGCACTCAGCTCAAGTACAACCAGCACCGAGAGGATGACGATCTTCTAAACTTGATTGCTGCTCCAGATGTCCTTCGTGAGTAGTGGGGACTGTCAGCTGGCTGTGTGGCACCTGTGGTGGCCACAGCTACACAAGCCTGTTTTTAGTTACCCATCCAGGACTGAACTGGGGAGACCTATGCCGGGCCTGTTGTAGGTTTCAGTGATCTCTCTCACACAGAGATGCCGGGGCTTCTCAGTCAGCCCTGCAGCTTCCCCAGGGACTACACTGCTGTCTTCTTTTCCGTCTGCCTCCCTAGCCTGGAAGCCAAATGTGTACCTGTTTCTACTCCTGGATTTGCTCTTTCTTTTTTGTTTTGTAGCCCCAACATTTCTAAGCATCTCCTAGGTGTCACGCACTGCAGTGTTGAGGCAGCCTAGACACAGCTGTGTGGTCTCTGCAGGGCCTCTCAGGATTTTTTTCTGTTTAGTTGGAGATCGGAAATTGGAGGGTAACCTAATTGAGTGAGGACCCTTCTGAGGATGTAGAGGAAAAACCAGTTTAAGCCGGGCATGCTGGAGCCTCTGCAGCAATCCTCCCCCCAGGGTACGGGACAAGACACCCTTCGGAATGGAGAGACCTGCTATGAGACGAGCATCTGTCAGAGGATTTCTCTGTGGTTGGATCCTAGACAGATGGATTAGAGCTTTTCTGATTGCCTGGGAGGACAGGAGTTTTAGTTTCTATAGCCTGCTTCAGGGAGGGAGTTATGAGCCATGGCTGAGAGTCAAAAAAGTGTGTATCGTAGTGTCTCACCCTCCTTCTTTCCAGCATCTCTGATCTTGGTCTGATCAGGACCTGTTCAAGCTAGAATACTGGGCTGTTCTGTATCAGTATTAGCATTCATGGCAGCTGCCATAGTGTATTAGTACTGAAGATGATGTTAATACTACTTGTGTTGGAGATGAGGAAGAAGCTGGGGGTATAGTTTGGTGACTAGGTGCTTTAGATTCCTGCTGGTGAGTGAGGCTCAGTGGTAGAGCCCCTGCCTAGAATCCCCCAGTGAGGGGCTGGGGCCATGGTTCTGTGCACTTCCTAGTGTGTGTAAGACCCTGCATTTGATCTGAAACACAACCGAAAAACGGACAAAGAGGAAATGTTTAGGGATCCAGGTTTTTTCCCCAGGTGCCCCCACATCAGGTGGAAGCAGGAATGCCTGTCAGGGATTCCACTCAGATGCTGTATTCCCCTCGGCCCCAGAGGTAGACACTAAAACTCCCCGGCAGGAGGAAGAACTGTAGCACATGACGTGACTTCACCACTCTAGAGCAGACTCAAGCCCACGGGAACCCAGAGTCCCGTTGATGTTCTTAAGAACCGGTAGAGTCGCTATATGAATGGAGGGAATCTGCCTTGGTGACTGGGTTTCCGCTAGAACAGCACTTCTACACCCTGTAGGTCAAGACTCCTTTGGGGGTCAAATGCCCCTTTTGCAGGGATTGGTTGCCTAAGAGCGCCAGAAGACACAGATCTTTACATAGTGATTCATAACAGTGGAAACTTACAGCTACGAGGTAGCAATGAAATAATATCATGCTTAGCGGTCACCATAGCATGGGGAGCTGTATTAAAGGGCCGCAGCATTGGGAAGGCTGAGAACCTCTCCATGAACAAGCCCTTGGAAGATGGAGTTTTGTCTGGTTGTCTCTGTCCCAGCTCTAATAAAAGCACGGTCACCCGGGCCAGGCCTGAAGGGGTTTCCGTCTGCGCTATGAAGTATTAAAGGTGTTTAAGTTTAGTGTCTTTGGAGAAGGTTTTGAGACCTGAGTTCTCAATAATTACTCTCTGTGACACACCCACTTATCCCAATCTATAATCTTCTTTTCTAGCAAAAACTGAGCGAGAGGCCGAAATAACCTCCCCCCAGTTCTCCAAAGTGACAGTTACAGACTTCTTCCAGAAGCTGGTACGTCAACCACTTACTTAATTCTGACCACTTATTTTGTAAATTACCTGAAGACTTTGAACCTTTTAACTTTTCTTCTTCTCCTCCTCCTTCTTATTATTATTATTTTGTTTTGAGGCAAGGTTTCTCTGTGTAGCCCTGGCTGTCTTAGAAACTGACTCTGTAGACCAGGCTGCTCTCGAACTCACAGAGACCGGCCTGCCTCTGCCTCCTGAATGCTGGGATTAAAGGCGTGCACCACCTTGCCCTGCCTTTTTCTTTTTAAACGAGCATGAAAAGTATTACATGTTATTAACTTTAAAATATTATTAATTACTAATTATTATTGTTGTTATAATAATGTGTGGGTGTGTCTGCATGTGGGTATGTGTAGGTGAGTGCAGGTACCCATGGTGGCCGAGGCCTTAGAGTCCCTGCAGCTGGAGTTACAGGTGGTTGTGAACTGCTGTGTGGAAACTAAACTTGGGTCTTCTGCATGAGCAGCGAGTGCTCTCAAATGCTGAGTAACTTCCCCAACATCACCTATTATTAACTTGAGAGCTTTTTTGTTGGTTTTTTTTTTATTTATTTAATTTTATATAACAAAGCCCAATTAAATGAAAACAAACATTTATACACAATATTTGGGAATTTGGGCATCGTTCTTTCCAAACTACTTCCTGCTGGTAAGGGGCACTGTCTTGGGGGATTCGAAGAAGATTCAGATATCCTAGCTGTAGTCTGTAGGGCTGTTTTGTCCAGCTGTTTGGAATGTAGGATCAGCTTGTACTCTGTTTCAGACGGTCTGGCGTGATCAAACCACATTAGTCTGGAAGGAATCCACATCTTTTCATTTTCTGTGGAAACAAAAATAGAAATCCTTTTCCCCAGTAACTTGTTCTTCAAGTTAAATTTTGGAGTCAAAGCATTTTTTGTTGGTTTGTTTTTAAACTAGCATCTAACTATGTAGCTCTAGAATTCGCTATAGAGATTAGGTTGGCCCCAGACTCACCGGAATCCACCTGCCTCTGCCTCCTGAGTGTTGGGACTAAAGGTGTGTGCCATCGTAGTAGGTTCAGGGGTATAGCTTAGTCACAATGTACTAGCCTAGCATTTGCAAAGCCCTGGGTTTGAACCCTAATAGAGAGAATATGAATGAATTTCTAAAAGATAATTTTATTTTAAATGCACTGGACAAGTTAGAGACAGTGTAAATACTGTTCTTGTGTGATTGCTCAGCACACGGCCCCTGATGTGACATTAGGCACAATGGAGCTGGTTGACATAAAGGCAGGGGCATCCCTTGACTCCATGTGTTTGAGACCAGCCTGGGCCACATTGGCAGCTCTGCCTCCAAACCTTTCACCGCATGACCCTCTCTTCCCAAGGGACCCCTGTCTGTGTTTTCGGCCAACAAGAGATGGACACCTCCTCGAGGAATTAACTTCACAGTGGAGGAAGGGGACCTGGGTTTCACCCTTCGAGGGAACGCCCCAGTCCAGGTGCATTTCCTGGATCCTCACTGTTCTGCTTCGGTAAGTGGGAGGGCCCACAGGGATGGGGAGGAGCCAGAGCCAGAGCCAGCAGCCTAGACACAAGTAGCTGGGTGATGGTGGATTTTGGGTTTGGCAATGTCAACAGGCTGACTCTTAGGTGAAAGGCCTTCTGGATGCTTCCTACCCACCACCACTACCCCTCAAATGGATTTTTGTTTCTTGTAGTAAACTTTCTGTAAATGTAGGGCTGGGGATATAGCTCGATGCTGGAGCACAGAATTAGCATAGGGATGTACCACCAAAAAAAAAAAAAAAAAAAAAAAACAAAAGACAAAGTAAAACAGACTTCCAGCAATGGCTATTTAGACCAGGAATCAGGGATACAGTCTGGGATTTAATAAATAACCCTGACTTGTATTCAAACATCTTTCTAGCTGGCAGGTGCCAAGGAAGGAGATTACATTGTTTCCATTCAAGACATCGATTGTAAGTGGCTGACGGTGGGTGAGGTTATGAAGTTGCTCAAGAGCTTTGGAGGGGATGACATTGAGATGAAGGTCGTGAGCCTCCTGGACTCCACATCATCCATGGTGAGCGCAGACACCTGTGGTGGTGAAGGGTTGGGGGAGGTCAGTGGGAGTTTGACCTTGGCGGTGTCAGGTCCCCTGTCTCCCATCTGAGGCCATCCCCCCTCATCATCCTGGGGTGCACTTGCCCTGGGTCAGAGAGAACTTGAAAAATGACACACAGGAGTAACACAATAAAAATGCTCAGATAAAACTGAGCCTAGTATATTCCTGGAATCCTATCACCTGGAAGGGTGGACATAGGAAGGTTGAGTTCCTGGCCAGCCTGGGGTATGCTGTGAGTCCCTGTGCCGGATTATGGATGGGTGGGTGGGTGGGTGGGTGGGTGGATGGATGGCTCAGAGGTTAAGAGCACTGACTGCTCTTCCAGAGGTCCTGAGTTCAATTCCCACCTACCACATGGTGGCTCACAGCAACCATAATGAGATTTGGTGCCCCCTTTTGGTGTGCAGGAATACATGCAGGCAGAACTTAAGTCTTTAAAAAAAAAAAGCATGGTGATATATGCCTTTAATCCTAGCACTCAGGAGGCAGGCAGATCTCTGTGAGTTCAAGGCCAGCCTGGTCTATAGATTGAGTTCCAGGACTGGCTCCATAGCTACAGAGAAACCCTGTCTCAAAAACAAAACAAACAAACCTCCCCCCCCCCCACAAACTGAAATAGTTGGTTTATACAAAAGGGCTTAGAGACCATGAGAGTCCCTTCCCTTGAGATCTTAGGAAGTGTCTGCTGCTTCCGTAAGTTCATGTGTGACCTTTGAATGTTTATCCAGAGGGAGGAGATGTACTAAAGCGTCAGCTTCCTTCTCTTTTGTACTTTGCCACACCTAACAATGTACCTTAATGTTCACACTGTGACAACTTTTACAATACGTTGAGCCTAAGCTCGTGTCTGTGTTAGTCAGCATTTCATACTGGAACAGGAGACCCGAGGCGAACTGCTTAGGAAACAAAGAGGTTGATTCAGCTCACCATTTGGGAGGTTGGAAATCCAGATCTAGTGGTCCCATTGTCCTGGTTATATGTTAAGGTTGACCCAAGGACCTCTGTGAGGCTTGCGTGAGTCAAAAATGGAGGCATGGGTGTGGTTTTGAAAAGATTAGTGTGGTCCAGTGTCTAGCAATGGGCCTGAGGCTGATAGAGCTTGAACTCAAGTGTGAGTAACGAGAAGGAAAGAGACGGTAGAAGAGACATAAGGGGCAGGGCATGGCTCAGGGTTTGAAACCTCTTGCTGTTCTTGCAGAGGACCTGGGTTCAGTCTCCAGCATCCTCGCGCAGCTCACAACTGTATCTGGTGCCTTCTTCTGGCCTCCTTGGACACTGCAGGCATTCATACACTTAACGACAAACAATTAAAAAAAAAGAAAGAAAATAAGGGCCTGCTGAGTGAGCGCAGCACCAACAGGAGCGCAGACGGTGTTAGAGAGATAGGATGCTGAGTGAGCGCAGTGCCAACAGGAGCACAGACGGTGTTAGAGAGATAGGAGACCTCCGCACACGTGTGCGGGGACCAGAGGGGACTGCAGGAAGTGGAACGGTGGGGGGGGGGGTGGAAGCCATTCGGTCCTTACAGAGCGGGGCTGACAGTGTACTTCATGTTGCTATGATGAAGTCAGTGACTTAGGAGAGGTTGGTAGTGACTCATGGCTTCAGGGGCCATCCATCAGGGTCGGGGAGGCTTGGCAGCAGGAGCGGGTCTATCTGTCCTCACATCTTGGTAGATCAGCAGATATCACCTTCAGGGCTCATTTGGAACCTCCATTTCTGCCTGCTAGGCCACAGTAACAGTTGCCATAGCCTCCCAAAGAGAGGGCAGCCTTGAAACGGCCAAAAAGTAAATAAGACAAATCAAGGAAGTTGAGACTCAAGGTACACTGGAAGGAAACCATGGAAAATGCTATGGGGTGGGGACCCATACACAAAATCCCATGGGGCTTCTGCCCCGGCAATCAAGGCGCCACCAGGAACGGAAGTTTCAGAAGAGGTTGTACAGACAGCGGTGTATGGTCTTGACTGTGGCCAGGAGTCTGGGTGCAGAGAGCTTCCTCTGCTCCCATGACCGATCAGAAATCTGTTTCTGTTGCTGCCCCGCCTTTGAACCGGGCAGCAAGGAACCGGACACAGGGGTTAAAAGCAGTCAGTCGTTGACTGGATTTGAATTCTGGCCTCACCCAGCCAGGGACCTCAGGCAAGTGCAAGAATAGCTCTGACTGACGCTCAAGACAGTGGAGAGAGAGGATCTGTGTGGCCTTAGTGGGTAAGGCCCGTGTGGCAGGGAGTAAGACCCACTTGTATAGATGGTAGGTGTGGTAGTGATGCCCATGCTTGCTATGGTGGTTCTTTGTAGCCAAGGACGACTGCGGGTAATGACACCTGAGCCCTGTTTGCTTTTAAAAGAGTTCTGGTTGTTAGTTTCGATTATGTGTAGGTGTGTGTCCGTGTGAGTGCAGGTGCCAGAGCATCGGGTCCCTTGGATCTGGAGTTAACAGCTGCTTGTGTGCCTTTGGACACGGTGCTTGGAACTGAACTCGGGTCCTTCCAGAGAGCCGAGGGTGCTCTTAACCACTAAGACGGCTTCTCGGCCTCTGAACACTGCTTATAAAGACCTTTTTTCCAAACAAAACCCAGTGGCCAGGGCCGGGGATGTGGCTCAGTCGCCTAGCACCTGGGTTCCCGCCCAGTGATTAAAAAAAAAAACAAAAACAAAAACAAAACGCAGTCAAGTGGTAAGAACAAATGAAAGACTGTGCCTGCCCGAATCAGTCACCTGCCAGTCTTTGTTTTGACTGGTGGGACCCGTGCTCCTCCCTGGAGGAGTACAGACACAGTGGAAAGAATCCATGGTTTGGGATGGAGAGCTGGAACCAGGCCCTGCTTGTCAAGCCGTATGACTTCAGCTGCTCAGTGCCCCTCTGAGCCCTGATGTGTTCTTGGCAGTAGGTTTCAGGAGCTTGACCCGGCAGCGTCTTCAGAAGTGCTCTGTGAAGCCCCCAGAGTCCCAGACAGGGCCCAGAAAGGCTTGGCCAGGCGGTAGCATGTCGTGCAGGAGCAGCAGAAGCTGAGGATAAAGGAACAGAGAACCTGGGAAGGGAGCTGACCCCAGCGTGACCCTGGCGGGGGGGGGGAGCGTCAGTGACGCGTCTCCGAGAATGTGGGGGTATGTGCGTGCAGACATGCGTGGATAGCGGAGCAAGCCTGTGTCTGCTGGGAACCGTCTGTGAGGCAGGAATGCAGGGTGTGGGCTGGTACCTGGAGGAGAAGGAGTGGAATCCAGGCAGCTGGCCGGCATGTCTTTGATGCCAGTGCAATTGCATGTAGTGCAAGGCTCCCTGGAGGATGGGTATCTGTGTTGAGTGGGTGGAGGTGAGCAGAGAGGGTTGTGAGAGAGGCAGCTGGGGCAGAGGGCTGGAGGGGCCAGGGGAAGATAGGAATGCCAGGTCAGGGGTCATTATTCAGAGATACCTGGTCAGGGAAGTCAGTTAGTTGGAGAAATACCCTCGGGCAACTGTTTTGAAGGGTGGTGGGGGAGGTGGGAGGGCCATGGTGGAATTTAACTGGAGCTGACACCCTGCCAGAGGAGTAAGGAAGAACCGTGAGAAAGCCTTTATCATGATAGAAGGCGGCAGCCAAGCAGGCGAAGGGCGGGAAATCTTCAAAACCCTGCAATTTGGTTCCATTGTTTTTAGTGATAGTGTGTGCCCTGTTGGATTCTAGGAAAGGGAGAATCGTGACTGAAAATCACCAGCGTCTACTGTTGCTGTGATGAAACACCACGACCAAAAGCACCTTGGGGAGGAAAGGGTTCGTTCCTCTCATGGTTCCCTAGAACCCTTCATCATCAAAAGCAGTGAGGGCAAAGGACAGGAACTCAAGCAGGGCAGGAACCTGGAGGCAGGAGCTGATGCAGAGGCCACGGAGGGGCGCTGCTTACTGGCTTGCTCCTCATGGCTTGCTCAGCCTGCTGTCTTATAGAACCCAGGACCAGCAGCCCAGGGATGGCCCCACCCACTATGGGCTGGACTCATCAAGAAAATGCCTTAGAAAGCATTTTCTCAACCCAGGTTTCCTCTTCTCCAGTGACTCTATCCTGGGGCAAGTTGACATAAAACTAGTCAGCATACAAGGTGACTCACCATAAATATCCTTCCCATATTGTTCCCTGTATTAAAGATCAGACAGGAAACTCTGGACCCCCCCCCCCAACCAGGCTTCCTGAGTGCTAAGATTGCAATGTGTATCAACTCACTGCCTCTGTCCTTGTTTACATATTAAGTTTTATTTCTTTATCTGGTGTGTGTGTGTGTGTGTGTGTGTGTGTGTGTGTGTGTGTGTGTGCGTGTTCCATGGAACACACGTGAAGATCAGGGGATGACTTGCAGGCATCAGTTAGTTCTCTCCTTCCATACGTGTGTGGGTGCTTTTACCTGCTGAACCGTCTTGCAGCCTTTGTCCTGCTCTTCAGAGCCTAATCCTATAAAAGCATCAGCTACCCAAGTTGTAGATGTTTTTACATTCATTTATTTGTGTAAGCACACCATAGCGTGCGTGCGGAGGCCCAGGGTAACTTGGGGGGGGCTTTTCCCCTTTCCGTCAGACAGATTTAGGTTGCCATCTCGACAACCTTCTATCACCCTAACTTTAGAGAGGGTGCTGTCAGTGTACAGTGTGAGCCGTAGACTTGTGGGGTCTTAGTACAACATCTGCTTTGACTCACTGACCTCCAGCTCACTGTGTAGCTAAGCCTGGCTTTGAATTTTTAATCCCCCTGCTTTTGCCTCCCAAGTGCTGGGATTCCAGGCATGCAGCGCCTCGCCTGGCTTGAGTCTCAGACTTGTCTGTCTAGTAATAGCTAACACTTTTTTTTTTTTTTTTTTTTTACATTCCAAACCCTGTTGCCCCTCCCTTCTCTCCTCCTGCTCCCCCCCCCCACACCTCCCATCTGCTTCATGGAGAGAGAGGGTAAGGCCTCCCCCAGGAAGTCTAAGTCTGTCCCAAGGCACCTCTCCACCCCCACACCTCTGTGTCTAGGCTGAGCAAGCTATCTCCATATAGAATGGGCTCCACTAAGTCAGTTCGTGCATTAGAGTTAGATCTTGGACCCACTGCCAGGACCTCATATGTGTCCCAGTCACACCACTGTCACCTATATTAAGGAGTCTAGTTCCATCTTATGCAGGTCCCCTTTTGTCAGATCAGAGTCAGTGATCTCTCACTAGCTCAGGTCAGCTGGTTTCCCCATCATGGCCTTGACTCCTTTGTTTATATTATCACTCCTCCTCACTTTGATTGTCCTCCAGGAGCCTGGCCCAATGGTTAGTTGTGAATTTCTGCACCTGCTTCCATCTGTTTCTGGAAGAGGGTTCTAGCTTCTCTGGAGTTGTGGATTGTAGGCTGGTATCCACTTATGAGTGAATAATACTGTGTGTGTGTGTGTGTACGCATGCATTTTATTTATTTATTTATTGGTTTTTTGAGCCAGGATTTCTCTCTGGCTTTGGAGCCTGTCCTGGAACTAGCTCTGTAGACCAGGCTGGCCTCGAACTCACAGAGATCTGCCTGCCTCTGGCTCCTGAGTGCTGGGATTAAAGGTGTGTGCCACCAAGGCCTGGCAGAGTACATACTATGTTGTCTTTCTGGTTTTGGGTTATCTCACTCAGGGTGTTTTTCTCTAGTTCTGTCCATTTGCCTGGCACTTTTAGGATATCATTGTTTCTTACTGCTGAGTAGTCCTCCATTGTGTAAATACACCACATCTTCTTTATCCATTCTTCAATTGAGGGACATCGAGGCGGTTTTCAAGATCTGGCTATTATGAATAACATTGCTATGAATACAATGTCCTCATGGTGTGAATAATACTTTTCTTCTTCCTTCCCCACGAGCAGCATAATAAGTGTGCCACTTACTCAGTGGGAATGCAGAAGACTTACTCCATGATCTGCCTGTCCATGGATGATGACGATAAAACTGACAAAGCCAAGAAGATCTCAAAAAAGCTCTCCTTTTTGAGTTGGGGCACCAGTAAGAACAGGCAGAAGTCAGCCAGCACACTCTACCTCCCGGCAGTTGGCCTGGCCAGGCCTCAAACCAAGAAGAAACTCCCGACACCCTTCAGCCTGCTCAACTCCGACAGCTCTCTGTACTAACGGGGGAACGCAGTCAACTCCTTGGATAACAAGCCTGTTTCAACCGACCTGTGCCATGATGGAAATGTTCTCCAGCCCCATCTTCTCAGAGTGGAAACTTGCATTTGGTGGCCTTACGAAAGGGAGAAGAAACCCCTGGGAATTGGTGGAAAGCCCAGCTGCAGGGGGATTTTCCCATACCGCTGCACTTATTGTATGAAGTAGGGCATAGAGGAGCCTGGGTGGTGTGGCTGTTCTTAATGGCTGTGGTTATGACATTCAGGCACTGTGGGAAATGAATTGGGGCCACCTACCTTGGTATATCTCCGAGTGTCTAGATTTGGGTAAGAGTGATTTCTTAACATCAAGTTCAAAGGACCCTTGAATGGATGCAGGTTAGAGGTGGTTTACTGAAGCCAGGCTTCTTGGCAGATCTCTGTGAGTTCGAGGTCAGTCTGGTCTACATAGTGAGTTCCAGGACAGCCAGGGCTACAGAGACAAAACAGGCTGCTTTCTCTCCTTGGGAACTCATGAGCTGAAAATGGCAACGTTTTATGTCATCCCTCCATAACTGAATGTCATTTCCTAGGTAAAATCCAGTGCCAATTTTGCCTTGACTTTCTCCAGGATCAACTTTCCCTCCAGTTGGCCCCTGCTGACCAGTTGCTAACACAGCAGCAGTGTTAGGAGATACTGTCTACAGGGTAGATGATATGCTGTTTGATACTCAAAACGTTCATTTTGTTTGAAGTAGGAGGTATGTGACTATGCATTTTAAGAGTCTCCGTTTAAGAAGTAGTTCTGCAGTTTACAAGGTAAAGACGTAAACTTCCTCAAGTTGAAACCTCTGCTTGACTTTTTTAAGGTGTATCTACCTACCAACATGACTTTGGGGCTATGGGTTGGATGACACTGTGACTGTTTTCCTGAGTCATGGTTGATATGCTTAAAGATGTAGCCCGTGGATCTGAATTTGAGAAGCGATAAGAATTTAAATAGTTTTCTATTGTGCAATATCTTAAGAGAGCCAACGCCTTTAGGAAAGTGAGCCCACTGTCCCCGGGGCTCTTTGTATAGATATTTAAATAAACAGTCATGTTCATTGTTTTGAGTTCATATTTCCCTGTGCTTTTATTTCATTTGAATTACTTCTGAATTGTTATTCATCTGAGGCACTAAATATTTTTATTGTGTTGAGGGCGGGGCGAAGGGGGATGAGATGAGGGAAGAGAGCCTTTGTTTACATCGGCAACGTCCCCAGAACACAGGTACCTGATGTGTGCAGAGAAGACCCGGGCTGCGTGGCCTTGACACTGGGAATAGGGGCACTCCCTACACAGCGCCGCCTGGAACCTCCCAGGACCTTTTTCATGGAGCTGGCTGCCGCTGCCATGAGTCTGATACCCTTTGGATGATCCTCACGAGATCCTTTTGACCTCAGCAGAAAGTAGACAGTGCCACCGAAGCGCCCAAGGCCTGGGTGGACAAGGCAGGGTGACTTGTATGTGAGCTCTGTGGGTCCTCGCTTTGTCTTTCACCTGTTGCCACTGAGAGGTGGCCTTTTTTCTTCCTTTTGAAGTATGGAACCCAGATGTTGTAGTCCGTAGTGGACAGGAGGGAAAGTTAGCTGTAGGGCTGCTGTCTGTGAGGTTGGGTGAAGAAGGCGTGGATTTGCTGTGCCACAGCGTGTCCCACGACCTCCTCGAGTTCTTGGATGGAAGCGTTACTCAGGTGCTGGATGGTTGGGAACTTCTGCAGCAGAAGAGGAGCCTTAACTTTTCCAACCCCTGGGATCTGCTGCACAGTCTGAACAAGGGACAGCTCAGAGAGCACACACCGCTTCTTCCTGAGGAAAGGGTTCCTGCTGGGCTCCTGGGTTTGCTCTTGAACCTGAGTGGGAAAATGAAAAAGAAAGCACATGGGCGCCCTCTGGTGGACAGACCTGGCTCTGTGAATCCACTGCCAGCCTGGTCTACATTGTGAGCTCTAGGCCAGCCAGGTCTACACAGTGGGGCCCTGTCTCAAAGAACAATCTAGGCGATACCAGGAATGTGTTAATTAATTAGTGTGTTTATTTGTTTGACTTTTGTGAATTGTTATTGGGGCTTGTCGTGGGTGGGAAATGCTATCTTGCATTATCTGGGGGAGGCATGCGTGACATGTAGAGGTCAAAAGGCAATTTCGTGTGTGCTCCAGGGATGGAACTCAGAGTTTCAGGGGGCAAGTGACTTGCCCCCCCAACACTTGCTAGCTGGTGGCACCTTTTTGCAAAGGTTCCCCTGGGAGATCCGGGCATGGCATAAGGCCTACCCCCAGCACTTAGGAAGCTTTGGTGGGAGGGGCTGCAAGTGTGTGAAGTCGGCATGACAAGCTGCAAGCCAACCTGGGCCACGCGGTGAGACTTGGTATCACAAAGCAGACATGTAGCCGGGCGTTGGTCCCAGCACTGGGGAGACAAAGGCAGGTGGATCTCTGAGTTCGGGACCAGCCTGGTCTACAGAGAAAGTTCCAGGACAGGCTCCAAAGCAATACAGAGAAACCCTGTCTCGAAAAACAAAACAAAACAAAAAGCAGACATGTTTCCTAGGAAAGTGTGAGGAGACAAACTGAACACTCAGGAACAGAGCAAAGGACAAGAAACCAGTGACATTTCTTTTTGTTGTGTATGTGCATTCATGTAGGAATACAGGCTCCATTCTCCTGTGGTTTCAAGCAAGGTCTCTCTTTAGCCCGGAGCTGGCTGACTAGGCTAGGCTGGCTGGCCAGCAAGCCTGTCTCTCTCCCCAGAGATAGGATTATATGTGTGTGTCATCACGCCCAGCATTTTTACATGGGTTTGGCAGGGGTCAAATTTAGGGCCTCATGCTTGTGTAACAAGTATTTAAACATTGAGCCATCCCCCAGCCTCAGGGCTTTTATTTTATCTATTTATTTTTAAGAAATAAATAAAGCTGGATGGTGGTGGTGCATGTCTTTAATCCCAGCACTCGGGAGGCAAAAGAAAGAAATACAATAAGCCTATACGCAGAAATACTGAAGTACTGAGCCTGGCATTCCTGAGCTTGTGATTCCATGAGCTAGGGAAGAAGAATCAGGAGAACCAGGAGATCAAGGCCAGCCTGAGCTACATGAGGCCCCACAGGGAGAGGGGGAACACACACACACACACACACACACACACACACACACACACACACAACAAACCAAGAAATGCTCGTACTTAGGCAATGGCACGTGACAGAGAGGCAAAGGGACCTGCCATCTTTACTAGTACAAATGCAGGAGAATGGTGATGGCGTTAGTGCAGCCTGAAGTCCAAAATCAGAGCTGCAACCTGTTCCCTTTGTCACAGGCTTGTAACCGTCATCAGTGCAAAGGATTCCAGAAATCAGAGAGAGAGGTGTCACTTAGTTGGCAGAGTGTTGGCTTTGTATTCCTTTTTTTTTTTTGTTTTGTTTTGTTTTTGTTTCTTTGAGACAGGGTTTCTCTGTGGCTTCGGAGTCTGTCCTGGAACTCCCTTTGTAAACCAGGCTGGCCTCGAACTCAGAGAGAGCCTGTCTCTGGCTTTGGAGTGTTGGGATTAAAGGCATGGGTTCAATCTCCAGCACTGCCTAAAGCCCGGTGTGGGTGATACTTGCCTGTAAACTCAGCTACACGAAACCTTGCATCAAAATTCTTTTGAGAAGGCTGGGTGGTGGTGGCGCATGCCTTTAATTCCAGCAACTGGGAGGCAGAGACAGGTGGAGCTCTGTGAGTTCAAGGCCAACCTAGTCTAGAGAGTAAGTTCCAAGACAGCCAGAGCTACACAGAGAAACCCTGTCTTGAAAAGACAAAACAAAAATGTTCAGGGCTGGAGAGATGGCTCAGTGGTTAAGAGTACTGGCTGCTCTTTCAGAGGACCTGAGTTCCATTCCTAGCAACCACATGGCAGTTCACACCTGTCTGTAACTCTGGTTCCAGGACATCTGGCACCCTCACACTGACATACCGGCAGGCAAGAACACTAATGCACATAAAAGAAAAAATAAATAAATAAACCATGAGTTCCAGGACAGCCAGGATTTTTACACAGAGAAACCATGTCTCGAAAAACCAAAATAAATAAATAATAAATAAAATCTTAAAAAACCAAGACCATTATACTGAAGGCAGCTTCGGTATATAAGGATCTAAGGCCACCTGAGAATCTAATGGACAGGATGTCGTACAGGAGGAAGCCGGTACTTACCAACTGGGTAATGAGGCAGGATGCTTCCAACTGGTTGGCTACGGGGAGCAATGCCATCCCAAGGTTAAGCACGATAAACTTCTGGACTGCTGGAAAGTACTGCTCACTTATCTGTGTTTTTTCAACTATTATAATCCCTTGAAGATGTCCAGACTTCAAAAGAAAAGACAGTAAAGGGGTTGGCAACACGATTCCTTGTAAAGTTCAGAAATGTACCGCTTAGTGCTTGGTATTGTGGAGATGGGTGATGGAGACGCAAGGAGATGTTGGATTTCAGAGCCTCTAATTCAGTACTTACATTTCTAACACGAACAAGTCTCTTTCTGTAGCCATGTCCCGCCACCAAATCCGCTTCAGTGACATAGAGAATGCAAGATCTGCTGGACAGGTAAAAATCTGCCAATGCCAGACCCTCCTCAAACACGAGTTTAACTTTTCCTTAAAATACAGACAAGAAAATAAATTTTTAGAAATTCCAAATAAGGCAACGGTTAAAATGCGTTTTTAGTCTGTATGAAGACTCATTTTTAAAATATGTATGTTTGTGTGTATGTACACATGTGTGCAAGTACCTTGAGTGTTCAGAACAGCGTAACTCCTCTGGAGAGGAATTAAAGACAGTAGTGAGCAGCCCAATGGCGGGGACGAGGTCAACTCTAGGCCTTCCTTTTAATTAAAAAATTATCTGTATGTTTTACTTGCATATGTGTCTGTTTATATGTGCATGTGTAGTGCCCCAAAGATCAGAAGAGGGAGGGGTCTGATCCCTTGAGTCACAATGTGGGTGCTGGGAATCAAACCAAGGTCCTCAGCAATGTCCGCCAGTCCTCCTAATCTTTGAGCTATCTCTTCAGTCTCATTTTATTTAGAGACAGGCTCTCATAGCCCTAGCGGGCCTTGAACCAGCTAAGGAGTGTTGGGCTTACTTAGTATTCCCCCACGCCTTTAATGTGATGGGAAGAAAGGGGTGTGATGGAAGGCAGTCCACTCACTAACCTTGCATCTCCTGGGCCAGTTGGGACCCACGCCATTTCTCATTAGCCACAATATGCCCCAGCGGCACGTGCACCGGACCTGCACCGCCAGGTGAGTTCCTTTCCATCCGTGGCTTTGGTTTAATGAGGGAAATACTAGAGCAGGCTGTTGCATACGGTTCTACACGAAGTCCCGACCTCTATGCCAGGATCTGTGGAGTGGCTTTTCAGGCATTTGAATTCTTATCAACCGAGACCAAAATTCCAGAAATATCTTCTTTTAAGAAAATACGCCTGCGTCTTATTATGAAGCTTGGCTCTTTACTGCCAGTTGGCTACTAGCTCAGGTTGGGCTCGAATTCATCCTCTCAGGTGCTGAATGACAGCCCGGCGTCACCGGGGTAAAACCAAGAGAATCTTGTCTTATTCCACCCGTCCCTCTTCTTGAGCACCTTCCTGAGCTCTGATGTCCTTACAGGGCACTCAGGGTGGCTCCTCTGTTCAGTCCCTGCCAGGGGCTGAAGCAGCAGGGAAGCTCACCGTACCAGGATCCAGAATCTCCGTGGACATCACCTGAGGCCAAGCCACTTCCGCGTTCCCGCTGCCCGGCCCGCCCTTTTTAATTTTGCCCTCCCTCTTCAGCATCGGATTGGCGAATACGTGCAAGATGGACTTCTAGAGGAACCAGTCATAGAACGGAAGACTCAGCTTGCCTCCTCGTTGGCTGGAATTTGAATGACGCCTTGTGTGGTTGTCAAGAGCAACGGGTGGTAGTAACATTGACCCCGATTGGTCGAGGCTCAAAACAGAGCCAATGGGAGGCACGCTTGTTTGAAGTTTGTGGGTCCGCGGGAGCTGGGCTGTGAGGAGCTGCCGGGGCTGCTGGGCCATCCTCCTGCTAGTCCAGTGCAGGGCGCGGAGGTCCACATCCCGCATCCCGCATCCCACAGCCAGGATGCTGCTCAGCTTCCGCAGGAACCGCCGGAGCCAGTTCGTGAGTAACTCCAGGGCGTGTGCTTTCGGGCCTGATGTACGAGCGAGGCGGTTCAGTTCCAGAAGCCCTGACTTCGGGTTCCAAAGAATCCTTCATCTCCAGAGTCGGCCACGTACAGGAGTCACTGTCCCTTTGGCCGGAAGTTCCCTCACTCCTGTCTTAGTTAAAGCTGCTCCGTGATCGGATGTCCCCGCAGGGAAGTCATTCTTGCTTCTCCTCGCTTTAGCAGGTCCTTCACATCTGCCTCCCTGACCTCGGCCCCGGAATGCTTCGTAGTCAGACCCTTAGTAGGTTCTGTGTTTTCACCTCCGAGGTTCCCGATATTTGCGGGAACTTTAAAACCCGCAGATCAGATCACGCCACTGCTCTTAGCAGAACCCATTGTCTCCCATCACACTACACACTCACTCACTCGCTAGATACACTGGCGTTTACTGTTCCTTCCGTCTGGGCTGTGTCCTCCCAGATCTTAAGGCCACTGTGTCACCATGTGCCATGCATTGTCTTCCTCGGCTTAGTCTCTGATCCCTTGCCATTTCTAATTTCTTCTTCTGTTTGGTTTTGGTTTTGAAACAGGGTCTTAACTATGTAGCCCAGGAAACTTCCCACAATCCTCTTGCCTCTGCCCCGTGAGCGCTGAGATTACAGTTTTACACCATCACGCTTGCTTCTTACACATTTTTCTAGGATCTTGACTCCAGCAATCCACAGACACATCCTTTCCTCTCACTACAATCTGTTAATCATGCCAGCTTGATTTTGTGGTGCTACAGATCCATTTCAGGGCCTTTTAGGCCACACATAGTAGAGCACACTACCTTTAATCCCAGCACTCTGTAGGCAGGGATAGGCAGACCTCTGTGAGTTCAAGGCCAGCCTGCTTTACATAGTGAGTAATCAAAGCTACGTGAGGCCCTGTCTCAATGGACAGGGGAAAAAGTAATTATCCCAGGCCCCTTTGGGACACTCAGCAAGCATACTGTCACTGAGGTCCATCTTCATCGCAATGACCTTTAAAAAAGATTAATTTTTAATTATGTGTAAGTGCCTTTTCCGGTGTGAGTTTGTGCACTTCGGCGTGAGTGCCTGTGGAAGCCAGAGGCGTTGGCTTCTCTGGAGCTTACTTACAGGCAGCTGTGAGTCACCCGATGTTGGTGCTGGGAACTGGACTCGGGTGCTCTGGAAGAGGGCGTGCTCTTAACCACTGGGCCATTGCTCCAGCCCCCAGAATTAACTTTAAGTGATCCACCCATTCCCGCTGCCCTCTTTTCCTGGGGGGAGTCTCCTGCCACTGGTGTTTTGTCAGTCTCTTGTTCATGTTGTTCCCGTTCCCGTAGGGGTAGGGGAAGTGCTGGCCCATTTTAAATGCCCCTGTGTATTCCCCCACCCCCGCCCCCAGGGAAACACTTGAAGAAGGTCTGGGGAGATGGCTCAGTGATTAACAGCTCTTGTTGCTTTTGAAGAGGACTGAGAGTCAACTTCCAGCCCCCATACGGTGGCTCAACCGTCTGAAATGTCATTTCTACATTTCTAGGGATCTGATGTCCTCTTCTGACCATATATGTATGGTCACACACATACATATATATATATATATAAACATATATGTTTATGTGTGTGTATGCATGTATATCTATATATGCAGACAGAGCATTCATGCACATAAAGTAAATAACTCTTTAAAAAAAAGGGGGGGTCAAAACAAAAATCCCGAAGGACCCTTTCTCTCCTTGAGCCATTTTGATTTTCCTTGTCCCTTGCCATTTCTCAAAATTCTGTGTTCTTTAAGGACCATGTGGGCGTTTTCCACGATATGCCCCAGGGATGAAGACAGAGCATCTTCGTTGTGATCATGGCAGCCTGCCTCTAGTAGGCTCAGGAACTTGAAAGGCACCCCCTCCTGCCCCCAGTGATCTAAAGTGGAGTGGGGTTCCGGGTTTCATCGTATGTGTAGGGCTTGCTTTCATTCATTACTGTGCATCTTTGAGCTAAGCCACCTGGAGTCGAGCTCCCGTTGGACACGAGTTAGTATGTTCAATTCCAGAGTTGGTAAAGTTAAGAAAGGCACCAGTTGTTCAGGTGTGGGAAGGCCCGGGTGATTTCACTGGGGACAGTGCTGTGGGTTGGAAGCCTGGAAGGTAATGGCCAGTGCGCTACTGACTTTACTTGTCTTTGACCCGACGAGAAGTAACTTCTGGGAGTAGAGGTTTATTTTAGCTCATGGTTTTGAGGGGATGTGGTCCTGTCCTCTTCCTGTTAGGGTAGGTTATCCCAGCTCAGTTAACCTCTCTGGAAAACAGAGACATCCAAAGGTGTGCCTCATCACACACCAGGTGTCAATTAACCCAGTCAAGCCAGCAGCTGATATCAGTTAGGAAAGCAGCTGTGAGGAGGGAAGGGAGGGGACCGCCTCATCCGGCACTGAGATGTTTTGCTCTGCTGAGTGTAGTGGCCTGGACAGCTGGGAGTTGGGAACAACACAGGAGGACAGGGACTCTTGACAGGACTGGATCCCTGGTGTGGCCTCAGCCTGGGAAGTGATGGTGGGGCAGGACCCAGGTGATTTCCTCCTCCCAGTCATCTGCTTTGGGTTTCCTTTGTGCAGAATCATATCATCCATGGTTTCCTCCCAGCAGCCAGCATTGCTCCGAAGCCGGCTGTGCCGCGTACACCTCCTCCCCGAAGCCTCAACCCATCTCCAGAGAGACCCAGGTAGGTCTCAAGCTCAGCAGCACCAAGTTTGACCATCAAGTACTGAACCCTGGCCAGGAAGTCACAGCAGAGGGGCTAGAGTCATGTCCTATGCAGTATCTACCGCTGTCCTGTGATGTACTTAATCCGGCTTTTCTGAGGAATGAGGGATTTATGTGACACCTGTCTCCTTCGATGCAGGATCTCAGATTTCATGATTGGATGCCATTGGTGCTTGTTAAATAGAAAGCATGAGTTAAGTTCATCCTTCCTCCCTCCCCTTCCTCCCTCCCTCCCTTCTTTCCTTCTTCCAGGGAATGGAAGCCAGGGTCTTGTATGTGCTACACGTGTGTTCTACATCTCAGCCATGGGTCATAGTACTCTCAGGAGAACTACACAGTTCTAGATACAATCCTGCCCTTTTTTGGTGGGGGGAGTTCAAGACAGAGTTACTCTGTGTAGACCTGGCTGGCGTCCCTAGTGCTGGGATTAAAGGCTTGTGCCACCACCTCCCAGCTACAATTCTGCCTTTTAAAACAACTAGTGTGTGTGTGTGTGTGTGTGTGTGTGTGTGTGTGTGTGTGTGTGTGTATGTACTTGGATGCAGTTACTCTCGGAATCCAGAAGAGGACATTGGGTTCCCTGGAGCTGGCGTTACAGGTAGTTGGGAACCACCAAACGTGGGTGCTGGGAACCAAATTCAGACCCTCGCAAGAGCAGTATGTGCTCTTTATCACCGAGCCATCTCTGCAGTCCACAGCTAGTCTGTTTTCAATCCGTAAGATACACTGATTTGGGTGTTAGCTGTTAGTAAGAACTAAAATCACCACAGGGTGCCCCTTTCTGGTATATTCCGTGCATTCCATTAGAACATAAACTCTGAAGGGCTAGGGACAGGGCTTGGTGACTGAGCATTTTCTCAGCATACATGAGCTAGCTCCTGGATTCTGTCCCTAACACTGGAGTAGGAAACGCTTCTGTGGTGTTCTAGTGTTTGGTTTTGCCTGAAGCATGTAACACGGATAGCCGTTATTAATGAGTGATCGCCCTGTGCCAAGTAGTCTAGTGGGCACCAAACAAGTAGTGTCTCTCTCTGTCACCCTCTCAGTAACACTGTGAGAGGGCCCTGTGCTCATCTCTGGGGTTGATTACTGCCTCAAATGTTGGGCGGTAGCCCCACCCACTGGTCCAAAGGCGGTCTATCCAGCTCATCAGTGTTTATGTCTTGTGATTGAGACTCAAGTGTTTGTGCAGGCTGGGCAGTAGCTAGAGGGTTAGCTTTCCTTTCTATTGTCAGCAAAACAGACAGACAGTTGCTTTGCAGTAAGCATGTTACGGGCTCATTAGAAAGTCCTTCCTTTCTTTTTTCCTTTTTTAAAATTTTCTCTGTGCATTGATGTTTTGCCTGTGTGTACATCTGTGTGAGGGTGTTGAATCCTCTGAAACAGTTGTGAGCTATTGTGTGGTGCTGGGAATGGAACCCAGGTCCTCCAGAACAGCGGCATGTTCTGAGCTGGACATACGCCGGTGCGATCTCAACCCTGTCTTTATGTTGGATTTGATAGAGCGGCTCACAGATCCTAGGGAAAACGGGATGCAAAACACAGCCTTTGGAATAAGAGAGTTTATCCTGAGCTTGCAATGAATGGCCCTGACCTGGGGACAGGATGCAGGCTCTGAGCTAACTATGAGTGACTGTGGTGTTGAAATGTGGATTCCAGTTGCCTTGAGTGGCAGGCTTCGGTGTGGAAGAAGCTAATTAACTTCCACAAGGGCAAAAGGGAACCGTAGATCAATGCATTTACCAAATACAGTGGGAGGGACATGGGAGGCAGGTACGGCAGAGCATGGGCTGTTGGTAGGTTTGGGATGACGGCCCACAACTCTCTAGGGGTTTGTGGAAGCGGCTGCTCTTTCAAGTTCAACGGTATGTTCCAAGAGTTTACCCAAGACACGAGGAGATTAGGTCAATGAGAGGTTTACAGTTGATGGCTGTGGGGTCATCTAGCAGCAATCCCTCTCTCAGAGGTCACGTTCCCGTCGACCATCAGCCCATAGGTCTTCTACACTGACGCAACTTCTTCGGAGGACTGGAGTTTGCATGTGTTTGTTTATTATGGAGGTTGTTTAACTCTGCCTTGAGGTCTGGTAGCCCAGACTGGCTCCCCACTTGTGCTCCTCCTCTTTCAAGTGTCCCGAGTGCTGAGATGACAAGCGTGTGTCACTATGCCTCGCTTTATAAAGGGTGTTATAAAGACACAAATAGGCATATGAAGTGATCCATAGGGTGAGGTGTGGGAAGGTCCCAAGCACAAGTGTTTCTGTCTCCGTGGAGTTGAGGTGTGCTGTCCAGCACCTAGGGGTGTCCTCCACCTTCCTGGAAGTCCCCACGTAGTCCGCTTTCTGCAGGCTCCGTGAACCACCCATTGTTGGGGAAATGAGCGCTGGCGGTGGAAGCCAGCGCCTCACACATGCTGGTCTTGTGTGTATGGAAGCTTCGTTGTGTAGGTGCAGCCGGTGCAATGATTGACATTGGTCATCACCTCTGGCATCCCTGCTCCTCGTGCCCCATGGTTAGGGATGGGACAGAAAGTTCTCTCCCTTTGAGCACCCGGCTGGTTCCCCTGGTAACCAACTCCCTACCTGTGGTTATCTAGGGACTTACACAACCCTGCTCATTGTTCTAAGCTCAGGTGTGTTTGAAAAGGCTGACTGTAAATAATAAAAGTCTGCCTTTACCTGGGCGCTCTGAAGCCGCTTCAAGATCTGAGGGCAGAAGGTATACTTAAGAGAGATAAAGGGTACCAGCTCTGCGAGCCAGGGCAAACTGAAAAATGGGTGGGTAACACAGCAGCACTCGGGATGCTGGGTAACACGGAGGCTCTAAGGGGATTGTGGGTAACACAGCGGCACTCAGGGGAAGGTGGAGTTGTTTGTCTTGTGTTGGGATTTGTTTTTAATGTGAGCATGTGTCCTGTGTGTGGTTCATATACATGTGAGCCTGCAGTTTGTCCGGTGGTGTCTTCCTCTGTTCTCCATCTTCCCGATCTGAGACTGGCCTCTCATGAAATCAGAAGTTTGCTGTTCTGGCTGGTCTGACTGGCCAGCTAGCACTGGGAATACAGACATGTGTTTTAACTGATGGCTCTTTTCATCATTACAAACCAGGTGTGTGTGTGTGTGTGTGTGTGTGTGTGTGTACGTGTTTACTTATACATCACTTTAAAGCCAGGGTCTCACTATATAGCCCAGGCTTATCTAGAACTTGCTGTGTAGACCAGGCTGGCCCCCACCTCACAAAGACCCACCTGCCTCTACCTCCCAAGTTCTGGAATCAAAGATGTGTGCCCTCATACCTGGCATAAATCTTCCGACCTCATTCTTTTATTTCATTCAGAGCTTCCATTGTACTAAGAAAACTGAATATGGGCTTTGCTTGTGTGGCTGGATTCACAACCTGGTGTTGCCGCATCTTATTGAGTAGAGGAAGTCTTCACAAGTCATTTAATTGCTCTACAAATGGACCACATAAGTTTGACTCCTTCAGTCAATGTGAGAATTAAATGGGGCTTCCGATGGGCTATCACAGACTGCGAGTGAGCTGTCTGTAGCTGCAGTAGGCAAGGCTAACCTTGCCAGTTCGGGCTGCAGTTCAGCCGCCCATTACTCAGCGCCTCTGCGGATGTTTGTGTTCATAGGTCTGCTCTGGCTGCCGTCATCCTGGCAACCACGCTGACTGGACAGACGGTTGCCATTCCTCAGCCTCGCCAGAGATCCCGGTCTGAGAGTGACGCCTCCTACGTTGAAAAGGACAGCTTCATCGAGCCCTATGCCACCACCTCAGAGCTGAGGCTTCGGTAGGGGCCTGCTACAGCTGTGTGTCCGCTAGAGAGCAGCCCAGCACGGCCACTCTGGATGGGACCCCGTGGTGGTCATCACCTGTGTCCGGGAGCCACCGGCAGGGACATTCATTGTTCTTTTATTTGTTCTGAGACAAGGTCTTCCTGTTCAGACCAGATGGCCTCAGCCTGTATGTCTCATGGGCTAGCTTGCCAGGCAGCTAGGACTACAGCAGTGCACCGTGGGAGTTTATTTTTCAATCTTGGCTCCAGCCAGTCACAGCGACTATTGTCTCAACTGCTGTACAGGTTGGGGCAGGATGATCATTTGAACCTGCGCGTCCGGGCCTGACCTGGACCCCATAGCTGGTCCAGTATCAAGATGAAGTCTTGACTCCATTTTGAGTATAGCTCATTTTTCTTCTAAGAATTACACTTTGGCTGAATTGAACTAGAAATATGGATGTGATCATAAAGTTCACTGGAAAGAAAAAGGATATAAAGTTAGCAAAGGAAGAATGCAAAAATGCTAGTCCAGGTGAGGGCTGGGCTAGCCCTGCCATGTTTTAAAGCAGGGGCTAAAGTGTGAGGGTAATGAGTGGCTGCTCAGTTCTGCAGTGAGAGACACTTGCAAATGTGAGGTGGCTGTCACATAAGTCGGGGAGTGAGAATTAAATGGGGCTTCCGATGGGCTTCAAATTCCACTAATGGAATTTGAAAACAAATCCGCTTGGAGTGTTGTCCAAGTCATGCACCATAGTCAGTCTCTGTGGGAAAGAAAGAGCATTCTAGCTAGTCACATATGTAAGACCATGAGCTTGAGATCAACTGCAGTTTAGAAGGTTAAAAAAAAGGGCGTGGGTGGGGATGACGACTGGGAATTGTGGACCATATCTGTAATCACAGCATTTGGGTGATGGAAGTTGAAGGATCAGGAGGCAGATGGAGGCCAGACTGTTCTACATAGCAAGTTCCAAGCCAGCTGGGGCTCCTGGGTGAGACCCTGTCTCAAACAAATAAAGAAACACCCAGCAAGGGCAGGAGAAGACGCCTCAGCAGTTAAGAGGACAGCATGAATATGCTCTTGAGTTTGGTTCCCAGCATCCACATTAGGCATTTCACCGGGGGATCTGATGCCTCTGGCCTCCGTGGGCACCTGAGCTCACAAGCATGTGCTTATACACACACACACTCATACATTTACATGTAACTGAAATCAAAACAATAAAAGTAACAAATAAAGAAAGCTTTACTAATAGCAGGCTCAGAGGTTAGGAATATCAGTTAATTCCAGCAGACCCCGGTTCGGTTCGCATCACTTATGTTAGACTTTAACTCCAGCTGCAGGGAATCCAGCACCCTCTTCTGGCCTTTGCTGATCCCCGCCTTCACACTGATATACATGCATGTGCGCACACACACGCATAAATAAAAGGAGATCTTCTTAAAAAAAAAAAAGTAGCAAGAGGAGTTGTATATATGTCGAGTATGAAAGCAAGTAGAAAGAAATATTTTATAGCCAGACGGTGGCAGCACATGTCTTTAATTCCAGCACGTAGGAGGCAGAGGCAGGTGGATCTCTGTGAGTTCAAGGTCAGCCTGTTCTGCAGAGAAAGTTCCAGGACAGCCAGGGCTATTTCTCAGAGAAACCCTGTCTTGAAAAACCAAACAGAGAGAGCAAAAGAGAGAGAGAGATCCTTAGAGGGAGAGAGAGAGAGAAAGAGAGAAAGAGAGATCCTTAGAGGGAGAGAGAGAGAAAGAGAGAGAGATCCTTAGAGAGAGAGAGAGATCCTTAGAGGGACAGAGCAGGGAGAATGGACGCTGTCATCATTCAGCTTTCGTGTATTTTACGGGTAAAGTACTTCTTTGGCACGGACTTGGAAACTGCATTTAAGATGTGTGTAACAGCTTGGTGGGATAATGTGTGTCAGTAATCCCAGCACTTGGGAGGCTGAGGCAGGAGGATTACGGATTTGGGCCAGCCTGGGCTGTATAGTGAGATCTTGTCAAGTGAATGAATGAATGAATGAGAAATGTGTTTCAGTATCAGCATCAGGTGCTAACGTGCTTGTTTGCTTATTTATTTGTTAATGACCTAACGCAGGCAAAGCTGGCAGAATGATGAGCCGGGAAGAGCTTCCTTAGCCTCCTTTGACACTGTAGGCTGCGTGAAGGACGGGGATGCTGGCACGCAGGTGTCCGTCAGCTCCAGGGGGCCAGAGTCCCAGTCCTGGAAGGACCTGGGAGATGGCAGAGATGCTGCATATGCCCTGCCTCACAGGAATCAGGTGACAATGCGTTCCCAAGCCGCCTCCCCCATGTTACCCAGGGTAAACTGCCCAGAACACATGAGAACGCTCTGTGCTGTTTTCCATCGCATCCATTGTCTTAAGTGTTGCGCCTTGTCTGTCTGGATGGAGTAAAACATCTCTGTGGGGTTTTGTGGGATTCTTTTTTTGCAGTGTATCTGTGTGTGTGTGTGTGTGTGTGTGTGTGTGTGTGTGTGTGTGTGTGTCCCCGCGTTGTGCGCATGTGCATGTGGTGTGCTGCATGTATTTGTGTTATGCTTGCCTATGTGTGCTTGTATGTGTGCACTTTTGTAGTTTTTGTTTTGTTGGGTTTTTGGTTTTTGGGTTTTTTTTAAAAGACTGAATCTAACCATGTAGCCTTGGCTGTCCCGGAGCTTACCCTGTACACCAGACTGGCCTCAGACTCCTAGAGATCCACCTGCTGCTGCCTCCCTCTTTCATTTTCTTGTCCAGATTTTGCCCAAGGTGGCTCCCTGTCATGCATGGCCTTTCACCTCCTGCCCACATGTTGCATTTGGAGAGGCTTGTGTTCATGTGACTGACATGATAAGAAGTGTCAGGAGGCTTGTGTATACATGACTGACATGTGTTCGTGTGACTGACATGTGTTCGTGTGACTGACATGTGTTTGTGTGACTGACGTGTTCATGGGACTGACATGATAAGAGGTGTCAGGAGACTTATGTGTACATGACTGATATGTGTTCATGTGACTGACTTGATAAGAGGTGTCAGGAGACTTTCGTGTAGCTCTATGCTGTATCCAGTGCTTTATTCGGGTCACTGAGTCACGAGACCAGCACCACAGCTTTCTTTTGTTTTGACTGGCTTTCTACTGTTGCTTTCATTCCTAGGAAAGGACTTCTGATATTACACACTCGTTTCTAGGTTTTCCAACTTCGTGTGCATGGGGTCATGGAATATATTCCTTTGACTCACTACTGTTAGTCTCAATGACTTTGAAATAATATCTAAATATGCATTTCCCCTACTAGCTTTTTTTAGATTAACCATCTTATGTGCATGAGTCTTTTACCCGTATGCTCACCACATGCATGCCTGATGCCCAGGGAGGTGAGAAGAGAACATCGAATCCTCTGGAACTAGAGTTACGGATGAGTGTGAGCTGCTGTGTGGATGCTGGCAATTGAACCCAGGTCCTCTGCAAGAGCAGCCAGTGCTCTCAACCACTGAGCCATCTCTGCAGCCCTCCCTAATACCTTTTTGACTGACATTCCTTATCTTCCCCTTCTTGTATCTTCATGACCAATTTCCTTCCACTAAAATTTTTAAAATGTATTACTATGTGCATATGTGTGTGCCTGTGTTCTGTGTGTGTAAGTCAGACACCTGTGTAGGCGTTGAGCTTGGGGTCACCAGGCTTGTAGAAAATGCCTTTACCCACGAAGCCATTTTCCAGTCTTCCCCCAACCTGCCATCGTCCATTTTTCTTTTCTTTTCTTTCAAGGGGGTTCATATTTTTCAGGAAAACAATGATTTTATATTACATTTTCTTTCTTTTTTAAATAACGATTTGCTTACTTCTACTTTCTGTGTGTGGTGTTTTGGCTGCCACCATACACAGGCAGTGCCTATTAAGTACGAGATCTTTGGCTCCCCTGAAACTGGGGTTACAGATGGCTGCGAGCCCCCATGTGGGTGCTGGGAATCAAATCTGGGTCCTCAGGAAGAGCGGTCAGGGCTCTCAACTGCTGAGCCATCTCCCCAGCCCCTCCCTCCGTTTTTCAGTTTCAGCCTCCCTCTCCCTGTCTCTGTTCAGATGTGTCTCCAGACCTGTGTGGGTGGCTCCCTGTCCACTGTCACCGTCACATAACTTTCCCTGAGCAGCCACACCTTTCTTGTTCACGTTGCTGCTATGGTGGCCCTCACTGACATGGGTGTGTACTGCAGCATGGTGCCTGTGCACTTCTTGCCACACACAGACTTTTACCATGCTGCACCAGAGCTGGGTGCCGTGGCATTGGGTACGGTACCGAGCGAGTGAGAGGCAGCCGAGCTGGTCCCTGCAGGAATATGGAAAGGAAGCGTCCAGGAAGTGTGGGATCTGAAGCTCCCCATAGCCAGATCTCCCGTGCGATCCACTTTTTGCCAGGCTTTTCACGGGGGTTCAGTGGTTTCTTCCTGGCCTGGCATGTGTGGCAGGCAGCCCTGGTGTGGCAGCTGTGAGGGTGGTGTAACGTAGGACAGTTGAATCGTAAGGAGGATGTATACAGCTAACATAGACCACGTGCTGGTCCTCTCATAACCAAAAGGTACCGTCCTCACAAAAGATGGTGGGAGAAGATGACACTTCTGAGCAAGATGGGTTTGCAGACTCCTCCTCCTCCTCCTCAGCACAGCACACTCACCACAGAGGTAAGGGAAGCAGTAAACGGGAGAGCGGTTTTTTTGGTTCAACTCCTAGGAATTTTATTGAGTCCGAAGTAGAGTTAAAATGCTGTGCGTATTAAGATTGTTAGTTGATTTGCTGAACCCTGTAGTGAGTTGTTGTTAATGTTTTTTTCACAGAGTTTGCTGTTCAGTAACTTACTTATACTCTTCAGATCGAGGGTGTGATGTTAGGAGCAGCCTAGGGTTTCCAGCTTGTCCTTAGAGAAAACTGTCAGTGAAGTGGAATGGAGGCTGTCCCTCTTCTTAGGGTACCTCAGGTACCACACAGTGACGACACCCTGCCTGATCTGTTTGCATCTGCATCGCTGAGGCAGTTTGCTATTTTTATGACTCAGTTTGCATGCTCCTGTAGCTGTGAGGGGCAAAGTGAAGGCAGGCATTGGCTATCTTTGGCAGGAGAAACGTGACTGAGGAGGTAGGGAAGATTGTGGTGTGGGAGGCTCAGGGCCTCGATCTCCCCGAGGGGTCTGACTGTGGGACCATGGGGTGTGGACCTTGGCAGCCACTGCAGGGACTCAGGAATGAACAGGGCAGAGAGATGGCCCCAGTCAAGGTCAGGCCCCTGCCTTGTAGTGGGACCTGCTCACCACACCTTGTTCTATCCTGGGGACAAGGTAAGTCTCTGGGTTTATGAGTATACTCTACTAGGGTGTCAAATTTCTTATGCTTTTAAAACTTCCCACTTTTTCTTTTTAAACCAGATGGTAAATACTCTGCGCTGAATCTTGAGGTAAGCTGATTTTCAAGAATTCCTATTTTCAAAAATTAGACTTTGCACTATTGTGTGTCTTTTCCTTCTTCCTCCCTTTCTTTCTTTCTTTCTTTCTTTCTTTCTTTCTTTCTTTCTTTCTAACCATGTGACTTATCGATGACCCTGTACTGTGATTCCATTTCCTGATTTGTATATGTTCATTTTCCCTCGTGTCCTTGGATGGAAGCCAACTTAATCCTGATGTCTGATCTTGTATTTCATGGTCATAACATGTTCATGTGAAAAGATCTTATAAGAATTCTTTCCTGCTGTGTGCTTCACTGACTAACCCCCTCTGTGGTGAGGCTCTAGAGGGGAGTACTCAAGAGGGACACTGGGGTGGATTACTGGGGAGTGAGGGCTTTATTAGAAATGCTAATGCCATGGACAGACAGGCAGGCAGGGGCAAGAGAGCTCCCGAGGAGGGTTCAGGTCTAAGCACAAGAGCCAGACAGCATGCCAGCATCTCCAGAGTGAGGAATCAGAAGCCACATAGCAAAAGTGGGGTCCCTTTTGATAGCAGTCTAAGGATATGGGGGGGGGGGGCAAAGCACAAGCCAGCAACTGGGCTCTCATTCCCAGACAGGAGGCAGGGAAGGGGGCGGGTAGCCGGGCGTGTGGTCCCGCCCACTTGGATGTAAGCTCACTTCCCAGGTGAGAAGTCCTGGCCCCAGGATGCTGCTAGGTTCTTGAGTAGACAGTGTCTCTCTGTAAGATGCCTGTTAGGTATTTGGGGGGGGGCTGCTGTGGAGGCTGGATTTTAACACCACACATGCATGCACACATGTGTACACACCGTTATCTTGAGGTACCGAGGCCTGAACTAGTGCCCTGTGCTTTCTAGGCAAGTGCATCATGGGTGAGCTACATCCCTAGTGTAGAAACTGATGCTGTGACTACTCCGTGGCATGGTCAAGGGGAAAGCTTTTTATTGTAGATAGGAGGGAGAGAGCAGCCAGTGGTATCTGGAGCTGTCCAGAGCAAGGAGAGGAAGTCGTGGATAGAGCATGGCCGGCAAACTGGACTTGGCCGTGAGAGGAGAGAGGGAGAGAGAAGTGGGTAGGGCGAGAGATGAAGACAGAGAGGGTCAAGAGAGTGGGAGACCGAGCTTGAGTGTAGGCAAGGCGTGGCTGCAATCATGGGGGGAGAGGGAGGGGAGCTGGGGCAAGTTTAAGGTAGGGGAGGAAGTGAGAAGACTCAGGTACTTGTGGTTCTGAGGGAGCCTGCATCCGCCATGCTGACAGGCACCACAGATAGCCACCTGTCCCTTCTGGGCTTCACAAGTTCCTGAGGAACACTGGCTTTTGTCTGACCACCAGAATTTTGGGGAAGTGAAGTTTCCTTTGGACCTGACACCTAACCATCACTTACTACTCTTAAGACAGGAGAGAGAGCCTCCCTCCCAAAGTTTAGTAATGGAGACGGCTTGTGAAAAGTAAGAAGTCGCTTCCATGATTCCTAGAATGCTGGCAGTTTAATAATCAAGCGTAGAAAAAAAAATAATAATAATCAAGCGTAGAAACCAATCCTCGCTGAAGGGATGTAAAAGTTAGACATTTTTCACCAGATGTGGTGGTCCATACCAATAACCCCAGCAGCTGGGATCCATCCCAGCAGGAGCATCACAAGGTCATGGGTCACAGGCTACAGCGCAGTCCGGTCTCAGAAAACAAAACAAAAACTTCCTCTGTGATTCTCAGAAAACTTACACCCTTGCCTGCTTTCCAGAAACTAAAACCTCAGCACTGCATCCATACATAGCAGGGAAGCTATGGCAGCTCCTAGTCTTCCCTTGCTTCTGGATTGAGGGGCAGGCGTGATTGTTTTCTCAGCACTTAGAGCCCGGCTTTGCTGTAGTCATTGTGCCCTGTCAGGTCCCCCCCCCCCCCCCCCCCCCCCGCACGCACTCACTGCGCATCACGCTTCATTTACAAAGTGAATGGACTATCAGTGGAGATACAGTCAGTCACTGAGCACAGAAGACAGCCGGCGCCCACCAGGAGGGGCTGCCCCTGAATGTATGCTATTCAATTGTAAGAAAACAGAGGGGGCCACATTCCATGTGCTAAAGAAAGACCCTCAGGAGCCAAGGGAAGAGCAAGCTTTGGGCCGCACCCGAGGCCTCACGCAGAGCATCCACTGTGGCAGATGCTCACACTCTCTCATACTCTGCCTTTTCTTCCTCAGGATGAGAAAGCGCCATTGCGTGAAAAGCCTCCTCCCTCTCCAGGTACTGGCTTTTTGGAGTTCACTGCCAGGGGCGTGCCCAGGGTTTGCAGGGTACCCAGCATAGTCTGGAGTGTGATTAGATTTGAGGAAGGTGTTAATCACTGAATATTAGTGGGGTAAAGGGCAGGCCTGTGGGGAGAGGATGAGAGGCCCAAAGTGAGGGACACAGTCTCTTTAGTCAGGCGAGTCCCCGACAAAGCAGTAGCCACCTTATGTAGTGGGCCTTTGGCCGACACACAACACCCAGGAGCTGCGCATCTGCTGGAAGCAGCTCTCTCCTCGCAGGGGATCACAGGTAATTTATTCTGAGCCATGAGTGGTCCTAACAACGTGGCTTGACATTTCCCGGTACAGAGGCAGCTATGTGAACTTAATAGTCGCCGAGCGGAGCACAGCTGCAAAGCAAGGCCCTTAGCAGATGCACTGAGTAGGTGGGTTAGCAGCAGAGCAGGAAACCTCTGCCACCGACCGACTCAGATGCCATTTGAAAGCACCAGTAGCTTCCGAATCGGTGGGGGCTAATGGGTTACTAAGTCACTGTGCAGAGTAATCCTTACAGTCAAAAGGATGCTGAGCCTGCAGGGTAGAAGCTCCTCCCTGCCTCCTCTGGCCCTGCCCCCTCGCTTCCTGCCTCCTGCTGTGTCTTCCCGGGGCACCCCCAGACTTTACAGACATCAGGGACAAGAAAAAAAAAAAAAAAAAAAAAAAAAGCCTAAATGAACTAGTTGCTGCCATGGCTTTTGGAATAAAGTGGTGTTTTTGGTGTCACTTTTGTTATGTTTGCCTTTCTCCTGTACCCTTCAGATGTAGCCAGTAGAGTACAGCGATATACAGAAATAACCAAAGAAAAGTTTGAGGAATTAAGAGAAGAAACTGCGCATCTACAGGCCGCAAACCAGTCCCTCGGCCTTGAACTGAGTGCCATGAGACAAGCAATGAAGGAGTTACAGCTGAAGCTTAAGAGGGTGGAAAAGGATAACAGGAGGCTGAAGGAGGCGGAAAAGGCATCCTCTCAGGAAGGTGCGGTCCGCGGCATCATTACTACGGGACACTCGGGGCTCTACTCACTTGTCATTTTGAGAACCTATTTCCTGTTGAATATCCGTGTGTATGTGGGTATTTATGTTGTAATATTTAAGACCCTTCATTAATACGCATGCTGATTGAATTTTGATTTTATCTGCTGTATCATTTTATTAAATGATTATTATACATTATTAACATTTACACATTATTTATATTTATGTATAGTTCACTACAGGGGAACAGAAAGACTGACTAGTAGTTTACTATAAAATCCGGGTGATTTTGATACCGTTGACTGCCATGTGATGTCAAATCGATGTTTTTCAGTAGTCTCGCCGGAATTACTTTGCCTGAGGAAGCAAGGCCAGGACCTGGTGGATGAAAACGAGGGATTGAAGATGATTGTCCACCGTTTGAACGTAGAACTCAGTCGCTACCAAACGAAATTCAGGCATTTGTCTGAAGAGGAGGTAATGTTTCCGATATGAAAAGCCAGTTTGTTTGTCTTTAGCCTTAACTGTTGAGTTGATTTCCCGTTCTTGAGAGGTTCTCGATGGCTCAAGCCTTTAATCTCTGCATTTGGGTGACAGAGGCAGGTGGATCTCTGAGTTCAAGGCCAGCCTGGTCTACAGCCCCCATCACCAAAAAAATAGTTGTTACAATTAGAAAACACACTCATGAGCCAGGTATTGGTGGCTTAGTCCCCAGCACAAGGGACACAGAGGCAGATGTATCTCTGTGAGTTCAAGGCCAGCCTGGTCTACAGAGCAAGTTCCAGGACAGTCAGGGTTACACAGAGAAATCCTGTCCCGGAAAACAAAAACCAAGCCAACAAAAATGTTTTTCTTTAAAGACTTACCTTTATTTTAAATCCTGTGTGCCTAGGTGTATGTGCACATGAGTGCAGAGCTCTCAAGAGGCCCAAAGAGGGTGCCAGAAAGCTAGCGCTGGAGCTACCAGTTGCTGTGAGCGTCCTGATGAGGGTGCTGGGAAAAACCCCAAACGCCAGAACGTACCAGGCTAGCCTTGAACTCAGAGAGATCTGCCTGCCTCTGAAAGCGTAATTAATTATGGCATTAAAAAACAAAGTATTAGTTTCTCCCTCATGGCTCCGACAGGACCTGAGAGTAACAACTCAAGGGGGTCTGTGCTGGCTCAGGGCTACAGCCCACCGCGGCAAGGGAGGCATGCCGCCTCCGAAGGACAAGAGCCAGCCTGGTAGCAGGGCTACCTCGCCATGCTCCAGGCCTGTCCATGGCCCCACGTCTTGTCAGCTCCACCAGCCAGTGAGCTGTGGCAGCGTTCCATACTCAGCATAGACGGCAGGAAAGCAGAGCAAGCAGAGCACGGGACTGGTCCTCCTCCTTCATCCTAGCCCAGAATGAAGGCAGGAAGAGGCATGAGACACTGGGGCAGTCCAGATGTGTAGTGTAAAAGGTTAAAGGTTCACACTAGCTGCTCCATTTCAGCCCCTTTCCTCAGGGTGCTAACTACTGTTAGAGAGGGTCAATGGCCTTTTACTCCAGCGAGCACAGGGCCCAGGTCCATGGACTTACTGGGTAAGCTTCTAGAATCCAAGTTAAGCCAGGAGGCCAGGCCTCTGCACTTAGGGAACGCTGGGGCCTGTGGGGAGGGGGGGAGTGGGGGAGGGTCCTGTCTGTCATGAGGGTTTCTGTGAGTCCTGCCTGTCGCCTTTGGAAAATGTTTGTTTTTGTTTTTAAATGTACTGGAGATGAACTGAAGGCCTCATACATTCTAGCTAAGCACTGTACACCAACTACACCCTCAACCTCTGTCTTTCTTGTAACTTTTTAACATTTTTTTTTTTTTTTTTTTTTTGAAAATATAGCTTTGACATACAGGTTGAGTATCCCTTGGGCAAAATTGCTTGGGATCAGTTGTATTTTAGATTTTGAAGCTATCATGTATTTCATAGGCTTTACTTGATGGGCAACCCTAAAAGACATCTTTTTTAAAAAGTCTATTTATTATGTATACAGTGTTTGTCTGCATGTATGCCTGCAGGCCAGAAGAGGCCACCAGATATCGTTATAGATGGTTGTGAGACAGCATGTGGTTGCTGGGAATTGAACTCAGGACCTCTGGAAGAGCAGCCAGTGCTCTTAACTCCTGAGCCATCTCTCCAGCCCCAGAAAACATCTTTTTAAAGTTGGGATTTTGCAGCATTTGATTTGAGAATATCTGATTAGTGTCCATTTAATAAAATTAATCAACTCATTCATTGTTTAGTTTTTATATAACAGGGCCTCATATAGCCCAGGCTGGCCTTGAACTCCTGATCCTCCTGCCTCCACCTCCCGAGTGTTGGGGATTGCAGGTTTTTACACCTCCCCTTCTGAATTCTACATAAGTACAGTTGATGGAGTTAGTGTGTCCAGAGTTATGCAGCTACCACAGTCATTGCTGGAACATTCCCACCCTATAGGGACATTTCGTGTCCGCTAAGTCTCCCATTTTTCCCAGCATGCACGTCCTCTGCACCAGTCCCTGGAAACTATTGGCTGGATGGTGAGCTGACTTCCTCCCTCCCTCCCTCCCTCCCTCTCTCCCTCCCTTCCTTCCTCCCTTCGTTGAGGCAGGACCTCTCTGCATAGCCCTGGCTGTCCTGGAACTCACCATAGACCAGGCTGGCCTCAGACTCACAGAGATAAAGGCACCCCCCCCCCAAGCTTGTCCTGATTTACATTCTGATGCTGGGGATTTGCCTATTTTGAACAATTCATCGAAATACAGTTACATTATGAGTGGCCTTTTGTGGCTAATCTTTCATTTTGCATAATACTTGTAGTGGGATAGTCACTTGGTCTCCTTCTGGTGAATGTCCCACTACAAATACTAATCTTTCCTTTTCAGTAATGCTGGTAATTGAACCCTGGTCCTTGCACATGTTAGGCAGGCACTCTACTAATTCCAGTGTTATTTATCGATTTCTAAGGAAGGGTCCCAGACTGTAGCCAAAGCAGGGCCTCACTATGTAGCTCAGGCTGGCCTCAGCTCGCAGCAGGAGCTCCTACCTCAGCTAACCAAGTGCTGGGGTTATAGGCGTGTGCTGCCACACCAGCTCCAAGTATTAAAAACGAAGCTGGGGGAGTTCACATTGCCTAGATCATGTCCTTCTGTAGGGCTGTGGGTGGCCAGAGCAAGAGGGCCCGGTGACTTTGACTACTAATTGCCACCTCTGTTGTTAACCCTTTCATCCCCACTCCACACACTTGTCATTTGACCTATGCAAATGCCACGTTTTCTATGACATTTTCCCTAGTTCCTCTCTCCAGATGTGATCCCCTCTTACTTACTTTGGGAATGGGGGAACATGGGCACTTGTGTGTGTGTGAGTGTGTATGTGTAGGTACTCAGGCATGGCTGCACATGAAGAGGCCAAAGGGGCCTGTGGTGTCTTCCTCTTCCCCCTCTGTCTCTTCCTGCCTCCTTCCTTCCTTCCTCTCTTCCTTTCTCTCGCTCTTCTTCCCGTTCTTTCTTTCTCTTCATGTGGAAACATGAAATTCGGAGATAGCCTGACTGTTTAAAAATAGTGTGTGTCAGTGTTACTTCCTAGTTTTTGTATATTACTGTGTTAACTAAATGAGTGTTTTGTTCTTAGGAAACATGTTGTAGTATTTAGGGGCAAGGGTGTTGCTGTCGAACACTCGCCATGTATAGGCACACATGTGTGCACATACAGAGAAAGACGTCTATTCTAGACTAAGAATGCCTGCCTGCCACGTGGCACTTCAGAAACAGCTTCACCGTGTCTTCAATGTTTGCTTTATTTCAGAATTCCCGTGTTGAAGGCCTCCCATCAAAGGGCCCCACACCTCCCTGGCTGGTAAGTGAAAGTTATTTCATCTCAGGCCCATAGTCTCTGCCTCTGTCAAATACTAAGAACCATTCCAGAATACGTATGCTTTCTTGCCTTTAAAAAACATGATGAGCTAGGTGGCGGTGGTGCACACCTCTAGTCTCAGCACTCGGGAGGCAGAGGCAGGCAGATCTCTGAGTGCATGGCCAGCCTGGCGTACAGGGAAAATCCAGGGCAGCCAGGGCTGCACAGAGAAACCCTGACTTGAAAAAACAAACAGAAAACCAAAAGCCATGGTGGTTGTGTTGCAGCGTAAGAGGCAACGTCAATCACCCTTTCTTCGCTCCTCCCTCACAGCTGGATGTCAGGTATCTCTCACCACTCTTGCTGGCTTATGAGGACAGAATGAAAGAGAAGGACGAACTCCACGCCACCCTGGAGGTAGGTGGGCTGATGTCTCCAAGACAAGCTTTTCAGGTAAAAAAAAAAAAAAAAAAAAATCCATTCAGGCTGCAGAGACAGTGTATGACCGTGTATACTCCAGTGTTTGTTGGAGCGAAGGGTGGCTGAGGAAAAGAGGTAGAGAAGGAAGGAAGGTGTCTTTGACAGAGCGTGAGCGGTGGGTGGTGTAGGAGAGTGTTCGGGGTGTAGGGACTTCGGGAAGCTGCACTCCCACGAGAGTGGAGGTCTCGGGAGGACCGGGGGCTGCTGTGTCATCCATGACCCTGCGGCTGTGGATGCCAGTGCTAGGACAGGCTCAGATGGAGACCACGCTCAGGGCAGATGGAGACCACGCTCAGGGCAGATGGAGACCACGCTCAGGGTGTTTTAGGGAATCTTGTCGCTACCAGATCCCAGGAAGCATGGGCCCCAGAGGTGCATTGTGATTGAGTTGTAGGCAGTATTAAAACAAGGCTTTGTCCGTTCTGTTTGGTCATTATTTCCTGAGAATGGCAGCCATTCCAGCTGCAAGAAGATCAGGCCTGGGCGTCATCAACACCCCTGGACCCTTCCATGCCTCACAAGTCTGATATCTTCACTATGGGGCCAAATATTGGAAGGAGAGTTGGTCTTTAAGGAATCCTAAATGGGACAGGTCCTTTAAGAGCCCAAGAGCCTGGTCTTCAGTCATGCCTCCCATCACCTGCCCCATCCCGTGAACCTGATGGCATACTATTGGGCAGGCTTTTTTTTTTCTTCAAGATTTAGTTATTATGTATACAGTGTTCTGCCTGCATGTGTCCCTGCATGCCAGAAGAGGGCGCCAGATCTCATTAAAGGTAATTGTAAGCCACCTTATGGTTGCTGGGAATTGAACTCAGGACCTCTGGAAGAGCAGTCAGTGCTTTTAACCTCTGAGCCACCTCTCGTGGACATTGGATTTTTAAAAGAGCATTAATTATCTTGTGTTCATTGGTCAAACATCAATAATAAAATTTCCATTTTGGTGCTCTTTTTCAATCAGGGTTATCCCATGTTTTCTAGAAGACCAATTAATAATACTGAAGTCTTTGTGGGCCATGCAGCTTCTGTCCACAGGTGCTCAGTCTGCTTTTGTAACATGGCAGCAGCCATGAGTGGCATGCTAGTGATGGGCGGGACCATGTTCCCATGAACCTCAGTAAAAACAAACAGTCTGACATGACAGGTAAAGTATATAAATAAAGAGCTATCGGCAGCAAGTGAGTGAGTGTGCTCTGACCAGAGGTCAGAGGAGAAGAGTCGCAGGCGATGCCATTTTAAGAGCTAAAGAGCCTGGGGATGTAGCGTAGGTCAGTCAGCAAGAGACTATTGCATGGCACCCAAGGTTCCCACTACAGCCCTGCACAAGATACCAAGTGTCAGCTGGGACACCACAGCGAGGCCCAGAGCAGGAGCCCAAGTCTGTCCAAGCTTCGTACGTCAGGGTATCTGGCTGAGCAAGCTGATGCCTCTGAGCTGGCTGCTGCCTGTGCTCTGCATAGGACAAGGTTATGACATCACACTAATACCCTTCCCCACTCACACAAGATTTCATCTAGGACTGAAAATTCTTTTTATACAGAAACTCCAGTTTACCAACAGAGCGAGTTCTAGGACAGCCACAACTACAGAGAAAGCCTGTCCTGAAAAACCCAAACAAAACCTCCAATTTATCTCTAAAGTCTAAACAAAGAAACCCTTTCAGTCTCTAGTTGTTCTGTTTTTCTTCTAATACCTTCCTTTAAAATTTTCAGTTATTTGGCAGTCACAGCAAAGCGGCATCAGGTTAGTGGTCAACTACTTAAAGCCCAAGTTCTCGGTCCCTGTGTGCGGTGACCCTCGAGTGACTTAGGTCTTCCCTCAGTAGACTGTGCTCCTGAGCACACGGAGGAGCTCTGCAACCTGGAGACTAAGCCTGGTGCTGGAGCAGGACTCTGCCAAGCAACAGCATCCCAACTGGTACCCAATGTGTGCACGCGCGTGACGGTTTCCATGCATTTCATTTCAGGAGGAAATGCAAACCTTTAGGATGCGAGTCCAAGAAGTGGTGAAAGAAAATGAAGGATTGCATCAGCAGTTAAATAAGAGTAGCCCTGTTACCAGCAAGGAATGGCAAGTGGTATTTGCTAACTTACAACATAATAGGGACAGGCTTCTTGACATCACCAAATACATAAATGCACCTCAGCACCTCACTTTTTAAAACTTAAGCACTTTACCCAAAGCCTGCACAACTCAGTAAACCTCTGTACAGTTAGAATAGGCATCCGGGACAGAAGCTTGGAGCTACACATTAAAATGTACACTGTCAATACCCAGTACATTTTAGGCAGGTATCCACCAACCAAAACCAAAAGACCATGACAAAAATTAGAACAAAAATAACCATTAGTTTTAAATCTCCTTAACAACTCATGTCCTCCACGCGACGCATTCCCAATCCCAGTCAGGGTAATTTTGGGTGGTGTTTTTATTTTTTTTTTTTTACAAGGTTTCCAAATAATACAGTTTCTAAATAATTTTCTAAAGGAAGGATTTCTACGACATGAGTAAGATGCAAGCCCAGTAAACCCTTCTAAATTGAACTTTCAAGTTTTTAGTGGCTGAGGGTGGAACCCCGGGCCTCGGGTTGTGTTGGGCAGGCACTCTCCCCCTGAGTCCCATCCCTCGCCCTCAGCTTTTAAAGACAGGCCACACTGTGTATGTAGCTCTAAACAAGCCCTGAACTCTGTCGCCCTCATCTTTCCAAGTCTTGGCTTGCAGTCATGTGTCTAGCCCTAAACTGGTACTTTAGAGGTAGCTATTATTGTTACTATCATTATCATTACCATTACTATTTTGATCCGGTTTGGTGGTGCAACCTTTAACCCTAGCACTCAGACAGTGACAGAAGGATCTCTGTGAGTTGGGGGTCAGCCTGGTCTACACCAGGGAGTTCCAGGTCAGCCAAGGGCACATAGTGAGACCCTTTCTCAAAACAAACAAACAAACAAAAAGACAGGAAAAAACAATTTAAATATGACCCGGGCCTATAGGTAGTAGAGCATTTTGTTCCCAACAAAGCCCTGGGGTCAGTTGCCCTGCAAAAAAGTAAAAATAAACGAGTAAGCAAATAAGTAAATAAAACTTCTAAATGGTTTCTCAAACCAGAAGCTCACTTGCTCTGCCCATGTGTTTTCATGTTCTGAAGCAGCACCTCCCCAGGGCCGTCACCGCTGCACACACTGTGGGCTTGCAAATAGGAAGGTCTGGCTAAGGCTGCAAACAGCTGAAGCCTCCACTCTCCTGCTGACCCTGCGGCCTGTGCACAGCCTGTCCACACTGCGGGCTCGGCCTGTCCACACTGCGGGCTCGGCCTGTCCACACTGCGGGCAGGCCTGGGTCGCTCCTTGGCTCTTCTGGTGTTTGTCACTCCGCACTTCCTTCCCTTTCTCTGTCCCTGCCCTCTTATCCATCCTCTTCTCTCTGCTGTGTGACACCCCTCACCCACACCCCTGAGTCCCATGTGAAAGTCTAGAGACAGTTTCCGGGGGAAACCGTGAATGATTAGCTTCTAGTAGGTATGTTATGCTTAGTGTTTAGTATCTTTTTTAATTTTTTTTTCTTTCTTGAGACAAGGTCTCACTGTGTAGCCCTGGCTGGCCTAGAACTCTCCAGGTGTTAAACCCACTGGGTGCAAATAAGACCAATACCACATTTTTTGAGCCAAAATTGGAAGCAAGCTTTAATAAACACTAGTCAAGATGATGGACACTGGCCAGGTCCATGCCTGGGATTCCCATACATTAGTCAGGGGCGTATAAAGGCAAAACCCACAAGGCTACCTTCATACTTCCCACCTTCATACAATCAGGGGCATGCATACATCCTGAGGTATTTCTGGCCTATGTACTTCCCGCCTACATGTGATCAAGCACATCCTGTGCAGTTGGGATAACCAAGCTTGTTCATGGACGCAAAAACACGTGGCTTGTTATCTTACATGAACAACAGTCCCTCAGCATTCCAGGAAGTTATGTCCTTGTGCCAGTGGGGTCTGCAGTTAGAGACATTTTTTGATGCATAGATCTCTTAGGCACATCGATTTAAACTGAAAACATAATGTTAGCCATCACACAGGCTATCCTTGAACAGCTGTGACTGCCTCTCTTGGGAACCAAAGGGCATACCGCAGGGCCAGGCAAGTCACCGGAAAAGAAAAGAAATAGTTTCTATTCAGTGTCCAGGCGTGTGGGAGTGAGCACATGTGTCTTACTGTCAAGCTGGCTCTCCTGAGCCTGTGGTCACTGTCATGTCCTTGGGGCATCTGTAGACCTTGGTGCCCTGTGACTTCCCCTGTTGAACGGGTTCCTGCTGCCATGCGGGCCCCACCTTCCCCTCACTTCGTGCTCTGGTGGCTCTTCAGGAAGGTGAGCTGGCCCCTTCCTTGTCTCCCAGCTGCTTCCTGTACTGCACAGGTCTCTGCGCACTTGAGTAGCATCCGTCTATGTGTTCCCAGGGCCTTCTCAGTGAAGTTCTTGGCCACATCTACTCGGCATCCCTAATTTCCCCTGGCTGTGGAACTTCAGGCTTCGCCGCCATCAGAAAAGCGTTAAACTTAGACTGAGCTTTTCAACTTTGTTTTTGAAAATTGATTCTTCTCCAAGCCCCTGCCAGCTCGACCCCTCTAGGTTCCGTGAGCTGTGTAGAAGTTGTCCTCAACAATGGGGCCCCCTGCTGTCAGTTTTCAGAAAGTGACCTTCTGTCCTAGCATCGGCCAGGGCTGTTTAGGGATCTCCGCAGGAACCCCTTGGGCAGCACCCAACAACTCAGCTCAGTGTCACCCAGTCCCATCACTGGAAGCCTTGCCTGGCTATATAGACGGCCAGTTCAGACTCTGTGTCCTCCGTGACTAGGAGTCCTCACCAGGGTCACCGTTATAGATTCCAGGGAGTTTATACTGCACTAGGTTGCTGTGCTGTGCGCGCGCATACACACACGTACGCACGCACGCGCGCACACACACACACACTATACAGTGCTCCCAGATTCTAGCTGTCCTCCTGTATTCTCTTCCTCCACCTCCTTATCCTCCCTGCTCCCATCCCCACCCGCCCCCAGTCTACCCACAAAATTTATTCTATTTCCCCTTCCCAGAGAGACCCCCCCCCCCCAGATCCGTCCTCTTTTCCTAACCTCTCTGGGTCTGTGGTTTGTAGTTTGATTATCATTTGCTTGACAGCTGACATCCACTTATAAGTGAATACATACGTATTTGTCTTCCTGGGTTTAGTTTACCTCACTCAGGATGATTATTTTTTCTCAACTTAAAAAATAATAATAATAATACAACAAAGGATCCCTTGAAAAAGAAAGGGAGAGAGCCAGGCACGGTGGCTCCTGCTGACACCTGTGTGAGCCTGAGGCAGGGGGATCGTGAGTTTCAGGGCAGCCTGAACTTCGTAGTGACACCTTGTCTCAGAATGAAAGGGGAAGCAGTAGAGGGTGGAGGAGGCTGAGGAAAGATGGCGGAGCAGGCGAACAAAGAGAAGGAAGGCCCAAGAGCAGAGGCCTGTCCGAGGCGGAGCAGTGTGAGGTAGCAGAGGGGGGGGAGGGCGGACTGACTCCACCGTCACTGTCTGTCCCTAGCTGGTATACCGTGGGCAGTTAATGAGGCAGCACCCAAAGTCCTTCACCAGCCTGCCTGGGCTTTTCAGTTATGAACTGATACATGGCTTACAATGCCCCGAATTAATAGGGAGCTTTCTTGTGGGGGATTCAAGGCTGGGGTGTGTTCGTATACTTAAGACTATCCCAGAGCCATCTAGTAAGTGGGTCCCCCCCCTAGTTTATTACTAATATTACTTTTTTCTTTTCCCGACCCCTCCCTATCTGGATCCATTCCCTTCCTGTCTCTCATTAGACAAAAACAGGCTCCTAGGTGATAAGAACAAAACATTACTCCCCCCCCCCCAACAGAGCTCCTCTTGTCTCAGCTTTCTAAGGGCTGAGGTTCCAGGCTTGTGGCACACACCTGGGTTCCTTTGCTTTTTAAAGAGTTAAAAACGTTTTTTTAATGTGTGTGGGTATCTTGTCTACATACCATGTATGTGCCTGGTGTCCTTGGAGACCAGATGGAACTGGAATCGTGGATGATTGTGCGCCGCCATGTGGGTGCTGGTCATCAAACCCAGGTCTTCTGGAAGAGCAGCCAGCATTCCTGGCCTCTGAGCCATCCCTCTAGCCCTTTATTTTTACTTCTTGGGACATTAAAGCCCCACAATGTGGTCCAGGCCTGCCCTCAAGTCCTGGGCTCAAGCAGTCCTCATGCTTCATCCCCAGAGATGCCTGGGCTTCTAAGTGTGGCTACCATGAGCAGCTGCTCATGGTAGGAAACACAACTGGCCATTTGGAGCCTGACCCCTCTGAGTGCCATGCACATGGCAGTCCTCTGCCCTCTGCCTTCACATGTCCGCAAATCGTCACCTCCTGCAGTTGCTGGCACATCCATCATTCAGGCATTATTGCTGCCCTTCACCCCATTCGCTGCACAAGGCAGCCTTTGCTATGTAGCTACCATGGCCAATATGAAAGCGTGCCCACACGTTGGCCCTCTCTCTAGTACATTTCTGTGGTCCCTCAGAGCCTCAGCACGGTGTTTAATCTCTTGACTCAATCATAGGAAGCAGCTTCAGGCTCAAGCACAGTTGGTTCTAGATGAAAACAAGCTATTGATCGAGCAGTTGGAGATTCAGCAAACAAAAGCCAGGGACACCCACCAGGAGCATGTCCAAGAAGGTGAGTGATGGTGCCGTCCTAGAGGACGGGATGGGGGTGTGCGCCGGGGTCGTACTTTCCAGAATTGTAAGTTGGTTCGTTCGTTGCAATCTCACAATTGGCTGCAGTCAGCTCGTGTTCTCTTACCCCTTGTAAGGCCAGCTGAAGTGGCTGGAGGGTAGGGTAGTCCGGGAAATTGGAAATGTTACAAAATGAAGCATCTGAAACAGCGCAAGACTGTTTTCTCCGTTATCTATTGACTGACAAAAAAGTAGAACTTTACTGTGCCCCCCTCCCCCGGCACCCTTTCCCACCCCCTGTATGCAAAGAAGCACTTGGGCATTGAGTTACAGCCTGTCTTAGTCAGTTCTCTGTTGCTGTGAAGAGACACCATGAGCAGAGCAGCTCTTCTAAAAGAAAACATTTCAGTTTCAGACGTTAGTCCATTAGCATCATGGTGGGGAGCTTGGTAGAACACACATGGTACTAGAGAAGTAGCAGAGGGCGTTCACAGGGACAGAGAGAGAGAGAGAGACAGAGAGAGACAGAGACAGATGGGGGAGAGAAAGACTGGGCCCAGCATGGGCTTTTGAAACCTGAAAGCCCACTCCCAGTGACACACCACCTCCAAAAGGCCACACCTAATCCTTCTAATCCTTTCTAATAGTACCACTCTCTGGTAACTAAGCGTTTAATTCTGTGAGCCCGTGGGACCATCTGTATTCAGATCACCACACATTCCCTAACCCTTAGGTTTTGAGACAGGGTCTGCTGTGTAGTCCAGGTTGGTGCCTTTGAAACCACAGTCTTCCCACCTCTCCCTCCCAGTTTGAGGAACGGGTGCGTACCACCACATCTGGCCAAACCATTGGACCTTTCTTTTGGGCTGAGGACATCATAGCTCAAGTCTCTGGTTCTCCAGGACTTACCATGAGTAGCCCATCTCCCATGTGTCTCTCTCTGTTCCTAGAGCCACCATAGCAGAAGACAGTGCTCTTCAAAATGAGCCAGGTTGAGATCTTTTCCCTTGCTTTGATTAAAACCAAATAGGAGCCTCCCAATAGTGGTACCCCCTCCTGTGCTCATTGAAGACAGGGGTCACAGGACAGGAATCTGAAACAGACCGTGTTGCCTGTTCTCTGTGAGCCTCACTATTTCCTCTGTCCCTGCTCATGTAACAACTCCCTGTGAGGGTTGGAGAGATGGCTCAGCGGTTAAGAGAGGACCCGGGTTCAATTCCCAGCACCCACATGGCAGCTCACAACTGTCTGTAACTCCTGTTCTGGGGAATCTGACACCCTCATACAGGCACACATGCAGGCGAGACACCACTGCACATCAAACAAAAATAAATCTTAAATAAAAGCAAAAGGGAACAACAACAGAAAAAGCCAACTCCCTCCACATTGCCAGCCTCTGTTGCAGCTGAGGCTACTGAGCCTCCGTTCCAGGCTGACTTCAAAGTCACTCTACTCACAACATGGCCCTGAGCGTCTGACCTTCTTCCCTCCACCTCCCAGTTGCTGGGATAACAGGCAAGGAGTTCCACCAAGTCTGCTTTAGTTTTTCTTGAGTGCAGTGCTGGGGATTGAACCCATGACTTGATGCATGTGGAACAGGAACTTTACCAGCTAAGCCACATCCCCCGCCTTCAAAGGTCATTTCTGTAAACTAACTGATCGTTTTTTAGCTACCAGCCCAGGACCTGAAGCAAGCTAGGCAACAGCATGCCGTTGAGCTACATCCCTACCTCCCTTTCTTGTTTTTGTTTTTTGAGACAGGGTTTCTCTGTGTAGACCAGGCTGGCCTGGAACTCAGAGATCCACCTGCCTCTGCCTCCTGAGTGCTGGGATTAAAGGCGTGCGCTACGACCTGCTTACTTTCCTTCTTTTTAAAAGATACATTTTTGAGATGGGATCTCACTATGTGGCCTAGTCTAGCCAGTGCTCATCATGATCCTCCTGCCTCAGAACCCCGAGTGTACCACTGCGCCTGGCTAACGCTCATGTTTCAGCCAGTCTTCTGTGCTACATCCTGAGCTTGTTCCCTTCCAGTTTCTAAGCTGACTAAACAGCTCGTGCTCCTGGAGGCAAAGACCCAGGACCAGGAACAGCAGCTGATGGAGAGCAAGGAGCAGCTGGGGAGCTTGCAGGCCAAATGCCGAGAACTCAAAGCACAGCTGGACAGCAAGATCGCCATGGACGTTCATACGTCAATTGTCAATGAACTGAAAAGGTGAGCTGGAGCCTCTGCGTGAGGAGTGGCGTACACACAGGTTGCTCAGTGTTGGTTTTGGTTTTGGGGTGTCCTCTAGGGCAGGCAGCGTCTGCTTCCTTTTCTTCCCACTTTGTTTTATATGACTATGTGTGCACAGCACCCACAGTTCACTGTTACACAGTTGCATTGTGCCCATGGGGCAGTGGACCCAGGGTGCATTCTACCCGTAACGTGAGGTTCTTTGTCCTGGCTGGTCCCACGGCCCTCGATCCCCAAATAAACACACAGATGCTGTATTAGTTATATAATTGTTGGCCGATGGCTAGGGCTTCTTATTGCCTGGCTCTGTCTTAATTATTAACCAATTTCTATTAATCTAAGTATTTCCACATGGTCTTACCTTACCGGAGACAGGTCCAGATCTCTAACTCCTCTGGCGGCTCACATGGTGACTCCTCTGAGGGGCACTCTCTGCCTACCTTTCCCAGAATTCTCCTTGTCTCCTAGTCCCACCTATCTTCCTGCCCTATTGGCCAACAGTGTTTTATTCACCAGCCAATAAGAGAAACACATATGCAGAAAGACTTCCTCCATCATGTAGCCATGGTGCATTGTACACACATACACTGTACACATGTGCACTGTACCCAGGTGCACTGTGCATGTGTCACTGGACATATGTGTCTGCTGTTTCTTGTCCTTCAGCCAGTTGCAAAAGGAAGAAGAGAAAGACCGTGCTGAGATGGAGGAGCTGCTGGGAAAGCTGACGGCCCTGCAGGTGCAGAAGAAGAGCCTGCTTGTGGAGAGGAGCAGCTGGGCCAGCAGGGACAAAGCTCTGCAGGCCGAACTGGAGCACATGCGCAAGGCAAACAGGTGTGTGTGTGTGTGTGTGTGTGTGTGTGTGTGTGTGTGCGCGCGCGCGCGCATGCATGTGTGTGCATGTACATTTCATTTTATCTTCATTTGATTCCCTTTATCTTTTCCTTCTCTGATAAGGACAATAAAATGGAAAATAAAAACCAAAGGGGTGGGCATCCGAATATAAGCTTAACGAAAGATTTTGATAACACAGGGCTACCCTGGGCTCTAGACCGTCTCCTAACACCTCCTCTAAGCCTGTTTTTCCTACTTTTCCTCCTTTATTCTTTATTCTTTTTTGTTTTTAATACTTATACATTTACTTATTGTTTTTAAAATATCTTTCATTCTTTGTATCATGCAAGTATATATACATTGGATCTTGTTCATCTCCTCCCCAACTCTTCCCTTCCCCAGTTACACAAATACACCACACCCAAACACACAACACAACTACATCCCTGTCACCTACATACATCACACACACCCTAAAACACCCACCACACACACCACACCTACACCCCCCACCCACCCACACCACACACACCCACACATACATGCACCACATATTCACACCTGCACACACACCACACCTACACACCCACCCACCTACTCACCCACGTTACCCACACACTCCACACCTATATCCCCACCCACCCACACCACACACACCTGAACACATGCACCACACACACACACGTACACACACCACACACACACACTCCCATACCCACACACACCACACCTACACCCCTACCCACCCCCACCCACACCACACACACCTGAACACACACTCACACACACTCCCATACCCACCCACACACACTCTCACACACACACACTGTCACACACTCACACACTCACACACACTGTCACACACACACTCACACTCTCTCTCTCACACACACACACACCTGCACACAATCACACTAGTATATCCCTCTCCCACCTTCACGCGGGATCCCATTTTCAACACTATCTCTTAACCATGAGTCAAAAAGTTAGGAGAATAATATTCAATTAGTTGGCTCATTGCCAGGCGTTTTGTGAGTGCTGTTTGTTTGTTTGGTAGTGACAGGGCCCACGTTGCAGGGCAGGCTGGCCAGGAACTCCAGCCGTCTCCCTGGATGAGCCTCCCACGTGTGGGGATGGCAGTGTGCCTGAAGCAGTGGCTCTTGAGTCCTGTTAACTGAGTCAGGGCTCAGTCCTTCCATCTGGCTTCAAACTAGATTCACTTCCCAAAACGTAAAAGAAGATGTATCTTGCTGCACAGTAGCATTTAATTAATTAATTCTGCGGGGCTGGGGGTTGGGACCCAGGGCCCTTGTGCATACTCACAAGCCCGCTATCACCAATCCACGCCCCAGCCCTGAGTGCAGTGTTGAAGCATTAATTGGTAGCACATGCCTTTAACTCCAGCAGGCAGACCACTGTGAGTTTGAGGCCGACCTGGTCTACATGCTACACAGTTCCAGGACAGCCAGGGCTACGTAGGGAGATTGTCTCAGAAAAACGAAAACTATATACATGCACGCACATACATAGGTACACAAAAACGAAAACTATATACATGCATGCACATACATAGGTACACAAAAACGAAAACTATATACATGTATGCACATACATAGATACACAAAAACGAAAACTATATACATGCACGCACATACATAGGTACACAAAAACAAAACTATATACATGCACGCACATACATAGGTACACAAAAACGAAAACTATATACATGCATGCACATACATAGATACACAAAAACAAAACTATATACATGCACGCACATACATAGGTACACAAAAACGAAAACTATATACATGCACACACATACATAGGTACACAAAAACGAAAACTATATACATGCACGCACATACATAGGTACACAAAAACGAAAACTATATACATGCACGCACATACACAGATACACACACATGCTGGTTTTTAAATATATATTTGTGTGCACTCCGCCGTGCTCCACACAGTTTCACTCGATCTCATTTCCACCACTGGGGACCCCTGCAGGCAATACCAAAAGAAGATTGATGTCCTCAGGAAGCAAGTGGAGAAAGCCATGGGGAAGGAGATATCTGCCCACCAGTACCTGGCAAACCTGGTGGGCTTGGCAGAGAATGTCACCAAGGAACGAGACAGTCTTAAGTATTTGGTGAGTTTCTTCAAAGTTATGTTCTGTGAATGTAAGCTTTGTGTGCAAATGTGACTTTTAAGGCCTTTTTTTTTCTTAGCAAATCCTCTTATTTCGGTATTTCAACCATATTTCCAAAATTCTCTAAGATTTTATCACTTAACTATGGGTAAAACTTTTTTTTCTTGTCTTTTTTTTTTTTTTTTTTTTTTTTTGAGACACAGTATTGGTTTTGCTGCATAGCCTAGGCTGGCCTCAAACCCACGAATCTCCTCCAACAGCCTCCCAAGCATGGAGATTATAGTTCAACCAAAACATGTTTTAAGGAAAATCAACCAGAACTTCTAAATAAGAGCAAATGCTATTTTAGAAGGTGAAGTGTGGGGCCAGGTATGGTGATGCCTGTGTCCGTCACGCAGCGGTGGGTGTGTCCCTGCATCCCTTCATTCACTGCGGAAGATCCTGAGAATCCCAGACACAGGGCTGGGGATGCAGCGCCGTCGCCAAATGCATGGCCCATGTGTGCAAGGCCCTGGGTTTGATTCCCAGCACTGAGGGAGGGAGAGAGAAGCAGACTCCTGTAGTTAGGCAGAGATCACCTACAGATGCAGTAGCAGCGGGGGGAATTAAGTCAATTATTGGTGTCCTAGATGCTGGAGCAGCGCACAGCCAGCAAGAACCTGGCACGGTTCTAGACATTCCCACACTGATTCAAAAAGATGGCTCCAGCAGATTGTGTGGTCGAAGAAGACAGCTGCTCCCTGTGTCAAGCCATTGCATTCAGAAAGGTCTGATAGATTCCCCCAAGCTCTAACAGTGAGTTGCCTCCAAGGGGGTGGACTTCCAGGTGACATTTTATAAGCCTTCTTACTTACTTGAATTTTCTGTTCCGTGTGGTTTGGACACATAAAACTTTCCCTGCATATAAGCTTGCACGGCTTTTCAAGATCACAGTGGCTAGCGTGTCAAATTGGAAGGCAGCGGTTAATGAGTGTCTTGATGAGAGACCGAGGGGGAGGCATCATGAGAGCCAGAGATGTGGGTGGGGGCTGTCGGGAAGTGTTAAAAAGCTCTGCCCCAGGGCAGTGGGCGGAGGTTTTAGCCCTTGCTTATAGAGGAAGAAGCCGAAATAGCGGGGAGCTTGAGGGGGATGAACAAAAAAGCTAATTGGATGTGTCTTGATATTATCTGTCCTTAGTGCTACAAGGCATTTCTCACAGTGTGACAGTAGCTGGCTCTAGTAAGTCTCGTACATTACTGGCAGCTTTAGATCTATAACTTATTATTACTGTGCAGGAATGAGTGTGTCACTGCACATGAGTGACAGTCAGAAGACAACCTTCTCTCTTCCACTGGGTACCCACTGTGCTGTCTCTCAGGCCCCGTTAATGGCAGTTTCTAAACCCTCCCTGACTTTGACCCAGCGTGGCAGGAACCTTGAAGCCATTCAGATCTTCTGACTAGGGCTTCTCCTGAAGTCGCTGTCCTGGCCCCAGGCTTAACTTGCTGGTGTTTTCCTGTCACAGCACCTAGTGCCCACTTCCCTGCACGTGCCCCTGGGCTGAGGAGAGGCCAAGCAAATGCTTGCTCGTTGGAAGGTGCCAAGCGGAACTGCTCACCTGCAGGGCCTTCCTGAGCACCTGCCTGCCACACAGTGTCACAGTAACGGTAGAGCCGTCTTATCTGCGGGGCAGGACACATGGGATGTGACCTCGCCTCCCACGTGGGCCATAGAGTGGCACAGTCTTTTGTGGTGCAGTGGAGATACTGTCCAACTTAAAGTGGCCCCTTCAGGCCCAAACCTTAGCCTTGTGGACTGGGCGTGGAAATACAGTAGAAGACACACGCTCTGTATAAATTTTTAGAAGTTGTAAATTTAGCCACCTTGATTGTTTAATGGCCTGAAAGCCAGACTACTGAGTCAGAAGTGGATGTGGACTGAGGTACTGTCATGGGCCTGGCTCTGCTAGTCAGCAGACCTCTGAGGTCCCATGGGGGGAGGACAGGCAGGGCACTTGGGGCCCTGTATAACCCAGACCAGGGTGACATTGACTTCCCTGCTAGTCACATCCCTCCTGCTCTCCAGGGTCTCTGCTCTGAGCAGTGTCTGCTGGTGGCCAGGGGTCACATGGAACTGGATAGTTCCCTGTTTGGTTTCAGCTACTTCCCTTTATAACTTTCTGAGGGAGACATAGTGGTCTGGGGAATGGAGATGGTAACTGCTAATTGGATACTTCTTCCTGTGTTTAACTTTCTCTGTGGGATTTTCCCTTTCTAGAAAGCCAACTGCCACCACTAGACTGCCTTAGGAGGAAGGCATCCCATATCTTTCTCTTTAATTTTAGCAGCTGGAACCCTTACTGGTGTGTGGGAGCTTGTCTGCCATCTTGGTGTCGGTGCACACTGCTTGTCTGTAGGTGATGTCTCTCTTAGATATCCTGTCTGCCATGTTGATTTGAGAAGAGCATTGTGTGTTTCCGTTATTCCCTTATATGTCGTTGTGATCAAATTAGGCAAGCGACAAGCTTGCTTCGGTCACGACACTTATTCGTTGAATACTACTGAAGGAGCCATGAGCAAGAGCTACTTAAGGAAGGAAGAGTTTATTCTGGCTTGTGGTTCAGGAAGAAGAGTTCATAATGGCAGGCATGGCCACAGGCAGCCAGAGCAGGAAGCCTGGAGGTCATATCTCACACAGGAAGCAGAGAATGAACTGGAAGTGGGCTGAGGCTGTCAACGCTCAGAGCCCAACCCCCAGTGACGTACTTCCTCCAGCAGGGCTCCACCTCCTAAAGGTCCCATGTGTCCTGAACAGCACCACCAACTGGGGACAAATACCTGAGCCTGTGGGGGACATAACTCATTCAGACCAAACCACTCAGGAACGCTGTGTCCACTAGCACAGGCCTGGTCTGAGGGACCCCAGATCTCCCTTTCGTACCCAGGAGAGGTGCACAGTGTGTACCCTGTCCTTGTTGGTCCTTAGCCCTTGTCCGAGCTCTGCCCACAGCCCTCTCCCAGGAAGTAAGGGAGCCAAAAGGGGAGAGAGAGAGAGAGAGAGAGAGAGACTAGGGATTGGACCCAGGGCCTCACAAATGCTAGGCAATTGTTGAACACTCAGGCTAAATCCCAGAGCTATTCATAGGAGTGTGTGTATAAGCTAAAGTAATGCTTCTATTTCTGCCCTCTCCCCAGGCTCAGTGTCTAGAAACTGAGAAGCATGGAGTCCTCAACAAAATCCTGAAAGGCAACATCCGCCTGGGAAAGCTGGAGGAGAGGGTGAAGGTAAGCGGCCGTCAGTGCGTGTCAGTGCGTGGTCTCCCCATGGGAGAGGAAGCTTCAAAGGGGGCCTGTGTCTCTCATACAGAAGGGTGTGCCAGGCTTTGCTGGCAGACAGCACCTTGTCCCTCCTCAAATGAGCTATGGTTTGCTGCACAATGAAACACCGTGCAATTGTTTAAAAGAAATTACAGGGAAGTCTATGGTTAAGTGATTTCACTACAAAGTAAAAAAAAATATTTAAAAAAAAGGTTTTTCTTTAAAAAAAAAAAATAAAAGAAAAATCTGGATATGTAGAAGCTGTACACAATTCATTTTGTTTTGTTTTGTATTTTGAGACAGGGTTTCTCTGTGTAGCCTTGGCTGTCCTGGAACTCGCTCTGTAGACCAGGCTGGCCTTGAACTCCTAGATTGTATTAAATGCATGTGCTGCCACCACCTAGTCCCACCTGTTATTTTTATTTTCTGTGTATGAGTGTTTACCTGAGTGTGTGAGTGTACACCACGAGCATTCCTGGTGCCTGCAGAGGTCGGGAGACAGCAGATCCCCCGAACTCTGGAGTTAGAGATGGTTGTGAGCCAAACCTGGGTCCTAAGTACTGGCCATCTCTCTGGCCTCCTAGATAGACTTCTTACTATTTTTATTTTGTTTAGTTTTGTTTTTCAAGTCATGGTTTCTCTTGTTGGCCTGGCTGTCCTGGAACTCAGTCTTTGGCCAAGCTGGTCTTGAACTCAGGGATCTACCTGCCTCTGCCTTCCAAATGTTGAGATTAAAGGCATGCACCACCACCTCCTGGCTATTTTTTTTTAAATATTTACTCATTTTTATTTTATGTATATAGAATCGTGTCTGTGTATATGTTTAGCCATCGTGTGGGTATCTGATCCTCTGAAACTGTACTTAGGGATGTTTATTAACCACATGTAGGTGTTAGGATTTGAACTCAGGTCCTCTGAAAGGATAGCCAGTGGTCTTAACTGCTGAGCCACCTCTCCAGCCCCAAGATTCATTTTTAAAACTTTATTGTATGTGGTGTCTGTGCATGGTGCATGTGTGCATTGGTTGCATGCAGTATGCATGGGTGTCATAAGACAACCTTCTCTCCTTCCAGCTTTATCCAGGTTTCCTGGGATCAAATCCAGGGCTTCAGGTATCATCAGGCGGTGAGCGTCTTACCCACTTCGTCACCTCGACAGCCCTCTGAGCGCTTCTAAAACTGACGTCAGAGATTTAGATACCTAACTCCCTTAATTGATATCCTAATGAACCCTGGTGATCAGTTTTCATATTCACTCTGCCTTAAGAGTTGGCTGGAGGGACTGGAGAGATTGCTCGATGGTTAGAACCTTAAATATTATGTGAAAGGCCTAGGGGATGCTGGAGGACCTGAGTCACGTGGGATGGGAGGTGACGAGGCAGTCTTTTATCTTTTTGCTGTTATTACTAGGGACTGAACCCAGAACCTTTGCACACCAGGCAAGCCCTGTGCCGCTGAGCTCCATCCCAACCCTTGCTGAGTTCTTACTTGAGACATCTATGCTAAAGGAAAACAGCGCTGACAGCTGTGGGCATTCTTTCTTAAGCTGCCAGTTGATGAAAGGGCTGCCGATGCAAAGTGCACTGGGCATGTGGCTCCCTGGATAGAGCTCGCCTAATATGCGAGAGGCCCTGAGTTCAATCTTCAGCATCGTATGAAGCTGGCTTTGCTGGTGCACACCTGTAATCCCAACACAGGAGGGGGAGATGGGAGGATCCTGAGCTCATGGTCACCTCCAGCTACATATGGGCTACCTCCCCAAGGCCCTGCCTCAAAAACACAACAAACAAATGAAAGTTGCAGAAATAGATTCATTTGGAAAAAAAAAAAAACAAAACAACAACAAAAAACATCCAATTGGTTCTGTGGTGCAGATATTTTATGTTTAGTTTTCCATGTTTAGCATATTAAACCCACAAAAATTAGATATGATATAGATCACACATTTGGTTTTCCTTTTCCGATTTTTATTTTCAGTTGTGTGTGTGAGTGTGTGTGTGTGTGTGTGTGTGTGTGTGTGTGTGTGTGTGCAGTGCCCTTGGAAGTCAGAAGAGGGCATCAGAACCCTTGAGGCTGGAGTTAACAGGTGGTTGTGAGCTGCCCACATAGGTGCTGGGAACGGAACTTGGTTCCTGTGTAATATATGCTCTTAATCACTGAGCTATCTCTCGGGTTTTCTTATACCTGAAATTCTTTTGTATCTTTTTTTTTTTTTTTGTTTTTGTTTTTGTTTGTTTTGTTTTCTCGAGTCAGAGTCTCACTATGTCACTCGGGTGACCTCAAACTCATTTTTGCCTCTTCCTCCTGGGTGCTGGAATTACCCAGTTTTATGAATTGCTGGGGATCAAATCTAGGGCTCTGTGTGAATGCCAGGCAAGCACTCTACGCAAGCTCCAGCTGTTCCTGCTCCCCCAGTCCTTTTAAAATCCACACTTGCCTTCCAGGTCAGCATTGTCTGAGGCACACTCGGCCAGTGGGCTCTGACTTCCAAAATGCCACTTGTTCACTGAGTTCCTTCCCTGCAGGGGTACAAGAAACAGGCGGCCCTGAAGCTGGGGGACATCCATCACCGCCTGATGGAGCAGCAGGAGGACTTTGCTGGCAAAGCAGCTCAGTACCAGAAGGAGATGAGGCACCTGCAGCGGATGCTGCAGGAAAAGCAAGAGGTCCTGGACGAGGCGCTGCAGCAGAAAAGGTGGGTGGCTGAGCCCGCACAAACGAGCAGGTGGCAGCCAGAAGGGCACCTCTCGTACTCCACACCTGCTCCTTTGAGGCAGGGTCTCTCTGGGATCCTGAGGCTTACATTTTCTCAGCTAGGCTGGAAGGCAGCCAGCCCCGTGAGCCTCTGTCTTTTGCCACCCTAGGAGCTAGAGTTGCATGGGTGTTTTGGGTGCCTGCTTTCTTACTTGGGGCAGGGATCCAAACGCCAGTCCTCATGATTGTACAGCAAGTGCTCGTAATCACTGAGCCAGCTCTCTCCAGCTGCTATTCACGTGTGTGTGTGTGTGTGTGTGTGTGTGTGTGTGTGTGTGTGTGTGCGCGCGCGTGCCTACCTGTCTGCCTGCCTGCCTGCCTGCCTGTATGTCTGCCTGTATGCCTGCCTGCCTGTCTGTTTGTCTGCCTGCCTGTCTGCCTGTGTGTCTATCTGTCTGTCTGTGTTCACACACCTGCATACACGTTGACCAGAAGCTGACTTCAGGGTCTTCCATCCACAGTCACTCTCCCCAGTTCTGAGACAGGGTCTCACTAGACCCACAGCTCTCCAGCTTGCTGGACCAGTGGCCAGCAAGCCCAAGGCTCTGAACTCAGGTCCTTGACTAACAGAGCCACCCCCCCTCCCAGCCCCCGACTTCCTTTTCAGGCGCACTGTTTCCAACCCTCCTCCTCTTTTTTTTCCTCAGAGAAATGGAAGGTGAGCTTGAAATGGTTCTGGAGTCCACTGCCAAGGAGAACAAGAGGATGCGAGGCCTTCTCCAGGCCACCCTGGAGAGGGGAGGCACACAGCACAGCGGAGCTCGGGAGGACACTGGCTTTGGTGGCCTCACTCAGGGAGACCTGCTGGTTGGCCACGATTTCAGCTATGGCGACGTACAGCTTCCTGCTACCACTGCCCGCCAGAGTCTGGGGGAGTCCCTGGCATAGGCCTCCTCAGCTGAGGGGACTTCCCCAAAGCTGGTGGGTAGGAGAGCCAGTGTGACAAGGAAGCCACTGAGTGTCATAGGCACTCAGAAAGAAATAAAGCAGCCCAGGCATCAAATGCATTTCCATGTCTCTTTTTGGCTTTAGTTTTCCATTTATTTATTTTTCTTTTTAAAAGAGTGTTAGGTATTGAACCCAGGGGTCTGCCCAGGTGACGCAAGCTGGCTGCCACTGAGCTACATCCCAGCACCTGTCTTCTGAGACAGGGTCTCACGGTGCAGCCCGGGGAAGGCCTTACCCTCCGGAGTGCTGGGATTACCAGAGTGCCCCTTCACACCCTCTCCACATTGTTCTTAGTGATGTGCCCCATTGTCAGTGAGACCACAGCCTCTCGTCACATTGCCCCCGAGGCTGGCTCAGTGAGGCTCCTAGAAGGGCGGCTAACTAAGGTCTGGAAGAAATGGAGATACTCTGTGATGCCTGCCAGAAAGGGGTTAAAACTGTGACATCTCCCTAGGAGGTGACCTAGCAGATAATTTTGGTGTTTTGTCAAAGGACTCTACACCCACTGTCCCCAAATTGAAGACAGCACAGCAAGTCTCATGCTGGCAGTGGCTTGTCCGCCGGAACACAGCTATTGTCACAACCCAGAGAATGCCTTCACTCCATAAGAACATTTTTTCTACCTATGCTGCTGCTTCATCTTATATCCCAGACATTCAAGTGGCGTGTCCCCAGGACCACATCGTGACCAGAGAAGGGATAGTCCCTGTATGTTGCCTAGCTTCCTACTTGGTTGTAGGAAACAGGCCACAGGCTGAGCCCACAGCACACAGGCGGGCAAACAACAAAGCAGAGAAAGCATGGCTGCAGAGGGGCAGACAGCCTGCAGGACAGGAAAGATCGAGGGCACTTCATAGAGGAGCTGGGATGTCCTGGCTCTGAAGGAGGGATAGAGGTATTGTGCCCAGACCCTGAACCCCCCCCCAAACCACCAAGAGACCAGATGCAGTGCAAAAGCAAAGTCTTTATAATTAACTCCTCTGTCACCCAACACAGCGGGAGCACGAGGGACCCCAGCAGCAGTGGGGCAGGGCATATAATAGGGTATGCTAGTTGCCTAGCAACAGCCTCAGGATTGGTGCACCTGTCCTGTGTTGATTGGTCAGCAGCAGCTGCAGTCTGACTTCTCCAGGCTGATAGGAAACTAGGCTGGTGTTTCTGGTCCTGGTGCGCTAACGTAAGACATGAAGATGGCCTCTGTTTTCATGCTGACCCACGCAGAAGAGTGTGAGGAGTGGAAGTGACATCTTAAAAAGGAAATGGCCAAGCCTTTTCCTGCTTGTGCTTATTTCTCTTTCGATTAGCAAGTACTGCACAGCTGAAAAATGGCGTTCTCCGCCTGTCGTGATTTGGATCTTAAAATGTCTATCAAAGGTTCGTGCAGGCAAAACACCATACACGTAAATATGTATGTTAACAAAACTACTGGTGATGACAGTGGTGAGTGAGTGAGTGACTCTAGAGGCAGGGAGGGGGGTCACGGGGTTTAGAGCGTGATGGAAGATCACTGCTTTCCCAGGAGGAACCACGTTACCCGGAACAGTGACAGGCGTGGCCTGGGTGGGGCTCAGTGGCAGACCGTGTGTTTTGTTCACACAGAGACTTGAGCTCAGTCCCCAGTCCAGAGTGAGAAAGAAAAGACAAAGATGCAAAGACATGACCATGCTTTGGTGGCACCTGCACATGGGGCCTTTGTCCCCAGTGCTTTGAAGCTGGCTTCTGTAGCGCCTAGGCTATAATCTGCTCCATGAATTGGGCGAAGGCCTAAAAATTGAAATAAGAGACAAGACAGTGGGCCATTCGTTCAACAGCAGTGTGGGAATGCCAAATGCTGAAATCCGATATTGAGGGGATGGGGTGGGTTTATATTCTGACTCACAGCACAGTGGAAAAACAACAGGGTTTTCAGGCTTAGCTCCTCCCCAGCAGATGTGTGTTAGCAAAACAGGAAGGGTACCAATAACAACTCTGGGGCAAGATGTTCCAGCCAACAGCTTCAGGCTTGCTCAAGGTCCATGCCGGGCCCCACAGGCCCCCCTTTCTTTTAATATAAACTAACGCCCGTCTTAGGTGGCAGAGGACATCAGCATAATTCCTTACCCATCATTGGAGAGGTCACCCAGGCCTGTAACCTTCCTGTCTCAGGTTGGATATTTGCCCCCTTCTGCCTTACCCGTCTCTGGCGATTAGTTCATCTAAGTTCAGCCATCCTTGGGCAGAGGCGTTCTCTTGAGCTAAAGACAGGAGAATCTGTCTTGTTTTAAAGTTGGCCTGGGCCTGCATAATGCTGTGGCAGATCAGGCAGCCAGCACCAAGGGTAGGGGCTAGGAGCCCCAGTGAGGAGAGCTTGCTCGTGCTCTAATCTGCTTCCGCACTGGCAGGTGGCACTCGGGTTTCATTGATGTTAATGATCTGCATGGCTAAAGCATGGGTGGAATTTAAAAACTGATCACGACTCCTGGAGAAAAGTAACTACATCTGATGCATTCTTAACTTCAGCAGGTATAATACAGATAAGTGTGAAAGAGGCAGAACAAGAAGCCACATGGGCCTTCCATAATAAATACATTTGTTCCTATAAGAGGCTAGTTTGTAGATTTAGTTTTAAAAGGCCAATTTGTACTAGATAATCTGTGGGGGACCCCAGAACAAAGTTAGCATCTTAACAGCCATCTTTCCTACTACTCTCTTAGATACTAACATACTGGTAATTTTCATTCCCCTATGAGTCTTCTCCCATTAAGCATATGATGCTTAACCCTGACCCTGAAAGAGTCCCAGCTGCAGGCTTATCATATAGCAATTTATCTTATAGCAGATCACCTGCATCCTGCTCAGAAGGGCATTCTGCCTCCCTCACATCCTCCCTTTGGTCCATTCCCTCCTTTCTCCACTACTTAAACCCTGTGGATATATTTAATAAATGAGACGTTATCAATCAGCACACTGTCTTGTCTCCATCTCTCACATTTCTTGTCCCCTTTTATTCTCCCTCCCTCCCTCAGGGTCCCTGTCGACTGACACCGAGGGCCGGGGCAATAATCGAGTGTGTTTTGGGTGGCTAAGGCTTCAGCCAATTCACCTGATAGTTGATCCACTGTGCTTGCTGTATTTACAGATTGGGATTCGGCTGTCCTTGAAACTATTGCTGCAGTGGCAGAGGCGGCTGGCAAAGGTAATAACAATCACAGCCATCATCCTGAAATCTCCTTTCCTCTATGCCGCACAAGTTCATCATCTGTAGAGGAGGTCTCTGGCATAGGTACCACCCCGGTACATGGACCATGACAGCTGTTACTTCATACATCCAGCAGCTAACCGGTCAGCAGACCTGCTAAGAACAATTGAGACTTCCTCCAGAATGAGTAGCAGGAACAGCAATTTGTGCATAGACCACTGGGTCAAAAAGAATTTGAGCTGCAAGGGCAGCATATTGCCCAGCACCCGTGAGCTTATCTAAATTCCTAGCAGGAAATCCGGCAGTGGCATTGCGTTGGGCGGTTTCTCTGGAATATTGAAATTCGCCTCTCCAGAGCAAATAATCACCCCCACTCAGCGTGGCTCTACAGAGCTGCATCCAGTCACTAGGGGTGCAACTTAAAGATGCAAAAGACTCAAATCGCCTGAGTGAAAGGAGCAGGGGCCATAGGCAGTGATGGCCTCCTTAAGTTGTCTTAGATCCTTGAAATTTAGCGTGCTGTGCTCCCTAACCCTGTTACCCTGAGGGTCCGCTGTCTCAATCACAGGAAAAGCTTGTCTTTCCTTTCTTAATGAGTCTACCTTGATTATTAAATCTGTGACCTCCTCCTCTATCCCTTGAGGTGCAGAGGCCCCACTAAAGGGATCACAAGAAAAGGGGTAGTGCCTAGGCAGATGGCAGCTGCGCTCATCAGCTTCAGTAATTCTTTGTTTTAATTGTTCAATTTCTACGGCCATAGCCACCAAGAATGTGGAACTGGGCGTTTTGGCACCTTGGTTTTTTTCTTGGAGATTCTCTGAGAGGGTGGGGTTTGTAAAGAACTCACCTGGGAGTTGCTTTGCTCAAATAAACCTGTTCTACTTTGTCTATTCAGCTTGATCTGGCTTACTGCATCAGCAGAGAAACCTCTTATCATGATATGGAAAACCTATTAGGCATCACTAAGGTACCTCACATAAACCAGTAACTGCGAGCAGTTTACAGGTTTGTAGACTCAGCGAGCTGGATACTAAATACTGGAAGGGGAGAAGATGTAATTTCCTGGATTACCTAATTAACAATGTCAGCAGACATGTCATCTATTCTTCTGTGGACACTGTCATTGGGTAAGGAAACTGCATCCAATGGCATAGCATGTTTGATTCCAATCATAACTTGAACACTGTCTTTGGTCACTGGCAAACCCAGCAATAATGTGAGGTTTCATAGCTCTGGAGATTCTGAGCACCGCCAAATACAAGGCTTCAACAGCTGCTATGTTGTTTGTGGTACTGGGTGTTAATCCCACCAATCAAGAATAAGACTACAGTTTAGAGCCAAATGTGAAGTAAGCGTTAATTAAATGCTGGCCATGTGGATGGGCTCTGTACAGGTCCACACCAAGATCTCTAGGAAATGGCCCAGAATCACAGTTTGCAGCAGCTTGAGAAGGAAAACCTATGATTCATTGGCAATCAGGGGCACGCATTCATCCTGATGTAACTCCAGCCTGTGAATCTCCGCCCACATGTGATCAAGCACATTTGGTGCAAATGGCTCAAACAAGCTTGTTTAGGGGAGTAAAAACATGTGATATCTCCCACAAACACCAGCCTCCAGCATTTCAGGAACTATGTGTCCTTGGGCAAGGGGCTTGCAGATCAGAGACATTGTTGTTTCATGGATCTTTAAGGCATAGTAATTAAAACTTAGAATGTAACTTGGTTCTCACACTAGCCACCAACGTCAAGTCTGGCTCCTGAGTCCATCAGCTGTGCTTCTAAAATAGTTGGTTTCCTTACTGGCAAATCTCAGATGCTTGCTATCAAAATGGCCTTTTAGTTTGTTCAGCTT